CTCTCTCTCTCTCTCTCTCTCTCTCTCCATCATCCCTGTCATTTTATTTTGTATTGCAGAAGCTGTACATTATTTGTAGGATTTTTTTTCTTCATTGAAGATTTGGAAAGGGAGGAGAGAGCAAAACAAAAATCTCAGATTGGAGCCCTTGTCTCATCTTATATTATTTGTGTGTCTATCTGTCCATTAGTTTTCCTGTCTATCCATCTGTCTGTCTGTCCCCCTGTTCGTCTTTTTGTCGGTCCGTCCGTCCGTCTGTCCATCTACCTATTTGTCTGTCTGTCTGTCTGTCTGTCTGTCTGTCTGTCTGTTTTTTAGTAAGACGTGAATTTTGGGTAACAAAACCCTTATGAAAAGGGTGGGGAGTAAATAGGTTAGTCTGTTTAAAACCAATTATTACACGTCCTCTGCAGCATTTTTTTTCTTACCAAATGGTTCCTTTGTTTGGAATCTCCCTTTTGATAAAACATTCTAGATATAGCAGAACATTCTTTTTTTTTTCTTCTACCAACATTTCGCGACCAAATAAAGCCTTGAACATAGCTTGCTTAATCATCCTTTCTTTTTTTAAATTCACAGTTCATGATTGTCGGACAATTTGGAACTACTTACCAAGGCTCTGTTGACATTGATGACATTAGTTTTTCAAAACTGCCATGTTCTGAACCAGACTGTGAGTATTGCTCTTCATAAAGAATCAAATTGGATTCTCCTCTTCACCTCTGGTGGAACCTTAAGCCCTTCAATAGTTTTTTTCTAAAAATTACAGTGCAGTAAAACATTATATTTTGTGGCTTCCCAAGCAGCGACTTAAGATATTAGATAAATTACAGGTTGAAATTGCTTTGGTTTTTCATGTTATATTGGTCCATTTATGGGAATACTTAAAAATAAAAACAAACTCAAAAAAAATAAAAATAAAAAAGTACAGCGCTTTTTATCTGATGGGTTAATTTAACAAGATTTTGAGGTAGGTGTGCAGGGTGGGGAAAAAGTACTTGTAAAGATTGAAACTTAAACGTTAAGGCTCTCCATAAAGGGAGAACAAAATTCAGTAAATCTTTAGAAATTGGAATTTTTCAGCTTTGAGCTAAGAAATGCAACAACAACAAAAAAGAGTTGTTTGCACTGTGATATGTCTTGAAAGGTGGTGATAATTGCTTCTTTTGTTTTACATTAGATATTGATTTCCATATAGAAATATATGCCTTTGCATTTCTTTTAATTTTCAATATGTTCATTATACTTTCAGCTATTTAAGCATGAAGGCCTTTAACTTTTGAAGTAGGAGTTTTGTCACCATATCTTCTAACAGTAAAGCGATATTTTGATTTTCCTGCTGTCAGAATTTCTTGTCTTGATTGGATTGTAGAGTAAAGTCAAATTTTTATCTTTACAATAAAAGGTACATTTTATGACTTTTCAATCAGTGACTTGAGATATTTATTAAAGTTATAAGACGAAATTACCTTGGATTTTTCATAATTTGGCCCTCGTAAGGGAATACTTGAGAATGGCAATAAACTTGTTTAAACTGTAACCTATCTCAACATGTTTCTAAAAACGATCATTCCTCAGCTTGAGATTTCAGTTTCGATTATTACTAAAGTGGGTGTGGTTTTGAAAGAGGAAGTGGCGAGTTGTTGGGAGTAACACGAGCCATGAAACTCGACTCGCGGTAGTGAAAGAGTCAAAAGTCTTCATTAAAAAAAAATGATGTTGTTTATTACAATATCATGTTGTTAACATCAAGCCTCAGGATAAAATGAAAGTGATATCAACATGCATTGATAAGTAAATGAACTATAATTGTTACTTTTATAGGTTTAAAAAAAACTTTTTTGGTAAAAGAAGGGTTTCTGTCACACTGTAAGAGATAAAATAAGATAAGATAATACTTTATTATCCCAGGGGGAAATTTTTCTTGGTTGTACAGGACCGTAGAGATGAAGCAGGAAGTAAAGAGCCCTTTTGAGTATTTTTTTACAAATTTACTTTGTTGAAACATTACATTTTAGCACTGAAGTAGCCTTTTATAGCAAAGGATTTGGTGTTGATTTTGTTAACAAAGATACATTTTCAAATTTTTCCATCAGTGTCATTAACCAGTGGTTGTGACTTTGAACTCGGGACCTGTGGATTTAATCAGAGTACGACTGATGACTTTGACTGGACTCGATCAAATGGCGGAACTGGGAGTTACGGTACAGGCCCAAACCAAGATCACACATACGGCACATACTCAGGTAACGTCTATAATGTATTAAAAAAGTGTAATGCCCACCCACGCCAGTGATGTAATGGTTAAGCTTTTCATCTCCGCATGCAAAGGACATAAGAAGTTTGTTTTTAGTGTTGGGGGATGATTTTAAAAATTGAATATCACTGTGTGTCAGCTGGAATGTATCTGTCTTTCTCAGCCGGTGCTGGCCCTGCCAGACAGGGCTTAGGTAGCCAGCATCCTAAACTCCTGAATTATCTAAATTGTCTTTTAATTTGGGAGGTGGGGGTGGTGGTTTAGAGATGTGTTTTGATATGGACATAAAAGGTGTTGAGCGAAAAAACAAAAATTGAATAGAAAATGCCGAACTGCAGGAAAAAAATGGCTGTTTCTTCAATATGATTATTTTGACGAACACCTGATTTCACTACAATGCCCCATATTTATCTTTTTATCTGATTTTTTTTACCTCTTTCTGTTCAGGTCACTTTTTGTACATTGAGGCATCCAACAGGTCACCGAATGATACAGCTGTGTTGAGCTCACCACAAATTAGATTGTCAACGACGTCCTGCCTTAGCTTTTACTATCACATGTATGGATCAACAATGGGTACTTTGCAGGTTGGTGTATGTTTAAAAATGACTGTACTACAGTAATTTTGAATGATAGTCAAATTTCAATAGCGAACGAAGTAACCCCAAAGCCAAGCTCTCCGTAAAAAAACTAAAAAATGCCGGAATTGAAAACTGAATGTTTGATGCAGTCAGCAAAAACTACTTAACTCCCAATTTTTCAGGAAGCATGAAACATTTTGATTGGCTGTTATTTCTGTGCATCGTGTTGTTGTAAAAACCACTCTCCGGTTGGGAGCCACTAACCTAAGCTGTAAAAGTTTCTGTACTGGTCTGAGAAAATATATCACATTTTCATGGATCGCGCTTTCTTTGCAAAGATTATTTAATTGCATTATTTGCTTGTCATATTAGTTATTTTTTCCCTCTTTTGAAACCGAAAGAGATTGCACGTTTGCATGTTTTTTTTTTCATCATCATCTCTTTCTAAACTTATTGAAATAATAGTCACCCACAGGGTAGAGGAGGAGGAAGGTGCATGTGATTGTGTGCACGTATGTGTGTGTGCGTGCATGTGTGCGTATGTCTTGGAGTTTACAAATGAATATTCCTTTTCATTAAAAATGAAAAAAAGATTTTTATAATGACATTTGAATGCTGCCTGAAACAGACGAGATTAAAAATTGATTTGTGCCATTTGTTACAATGCACGTGCAGGTATACAAGCGAAATGGTGTAAACCGTTATCAAGTGTTCCAACGGAATGGTGACCAAGGAAACATGTGGGTGCGAGCTGAAGTCCCTTTGCGTCATTATTCCTACGCAAGTCAGACTATCAATTTTGACTTTGTAGGCATTGTTGGTAGTTCTTACAAAGGTGACATCGCTATCGACGACATCAGTCTTAATACGGGATCCTGTCCTACTAGAGGTACGTTATCAGCGTGAAAGTTTTTCCGCAGACTTACAGTATGGCAATTTTTGTATTTTACTTACTTTGTCTGTCCTCTTAAGCCATGAGGTGTCTAGGGTAGATTTTGTTTTTGGATGTGGGCCAGGTGTGTTTCTGTTCTGATGGTCATGTAGTTCCTTCGGGTGGTCTCTTAACACCATAGATACATCTCTTTCTTGACGTTCCTTTTCCCTTGAAGCCATCAAATCACATGTTTTAAACTGTCACTAGCAGACTCTTTTGTTAATTACCATCTTGAATAGAGGGTTTATTACCTTAAAGTATTAAAATAGTTGAATGCAAGATTAAATACCCTTGCAAAACCCTTAACATTACAAGAAGAGGCAGGCAGAGAAATGGAGAAGTAGGAGTAACAATTGGCACTGAGTTTTGCCTGCATTTCATAGAAAAACAGAGTAAAATGGTTTGGCCACCTGTTATGAATGTCACCTAGCCAGGTAGCCTCGAGAGCTTATAACACCAAGTGGTAAGGCTATAAAGGAAGAGGTAGACCATGCTAAAGATTGATTGAAGGAGCTAAGGATACCCTGAGAAATTAAGATATCCCAATTGACAGAGCTGTAGAGCTGCAGTGTGACCTGTATTTAGGCCTACATTATGTCCAACAGGCTGCAGATCCTTTATAAATATGTTCTGGAACCAAAGAGGTGACCTGGATCAGTCCTGAACTTGACGTAAAATGGCTTCCCTTTACATTTTACTCTATGAAAAATTGAATTTTAAACCCAAAATCAATATACATTTATTCTTTAAGGTGGGTTTTTCAAGAAGATTGTGGTTTGTTTTTGAATCGTTGTCCAAATTTTGATATTCTTTTTGATTAAACAGAATTGGTTGTAGGTGAGCATCACTCAATGGTTAGTTCCTCTTTCTTTTCTTTATCTCTGTTGTTTCTACATTTAAAAAAAATCAATTTTTAACTTTAGCCCATTTAGTGTTCCCACCAGTGAATATGATAACCATGTTCAGGCACGACTGTTTCAACAGCCTGTCGTATTTATGGGATTATGGGTTGTTGGCAGGTTCTTTGGTGTGGCTTGCTCTTTCTTTTCCATCAAACATCTGTTGGCCTTATCTCGCCTTCTTTTTAATGTTTGTTACTCTCTTGTAACACCTCTAATCTTTGACACTTATATGACCTTATTGTGTTGCAAGTGTCGTAAAATAGCCTACTTACCAAGACAAAAGAGTATAAGGGCTTAGAGTATTGGGCTAAATTTTCCTCTGGCACAGGGTATACTGTAAGTACTTCTTTTGATATTAATTTTTTTATAATAACAAAGTCCAAAAGTGCATAAAATATAATTTGTTATGTGTTTCTATTTCTCAGGAGCTTGTAATTTTGAACGTGGATTGTGTTCATGGCTCAATGTAAATGGATACGGTTCAACTAAGCATGATGATTTTGACTGGACTCTGACGCAAGGAGGTGGACCTGCGTTAACAATAGTAGACAACACTATGGGCAGCAAATATGGTGAGCACAGCTTGCTTTCATTTTTCTTGTTCTTGTTGTAGATTTCAGGGCAAGATGTGACATAATAATGCCAAATTTGAAAATTTCAGCATCCTTTAAAACATTAAAAAAACCAACAACTTTTTCCAATACCAAAAATATCTTCTCTAAAATAGAGTAGCATCGGTAGCCTAGTGGTTAGGCTACCAGACTCGTAATCGTGAGGTTGTGGGTTTGAGCGCTCGAGCCACAACTCAGTCCAATGGGAAAAAAAGGGCACTTTACATGATATTCCCATTTGGCTCAGTCTTTTCAGAGATGGACGTTTAATTTGGAGATCCCGCTTCTTAAATTACCTAATAGTATTGATAGAGACTTTAAACCCATAGGCCTACTGTTTCACCATTTTTTCGCTCAAATATAGCAAAATGCATTTTCTAAAATAAGAAGACTAATGGGCAGATCACAAGTTTGGTGATCAGCTTAATTAAAATCAGAAAAAGCTAAATTCTTATATCTCAAAAGTGTCATCGTTCCCATTTAGCCAAGCATTTATTGTCGCAATTGGTGCGTTTTCTGAATTTGGTCTCACATTTTGTCCGTTGTCTGAGCTTATGCTGCCTTTCCCCGCAGTGATTGAACTTGTCCAAATCTCTACCTTCAGATGAAGGTTCCATCTTTTCTTACTGGCCTGTCCACTCAAGTAATAACAAAGATAGTAAATTACAAGATGGGCCACTCGGCCAAAAAAGTGTCCGCCGGAAGTCCGCTCTTTGCTTCAGATGGCGCTGCAGTCTGTTTTGAAGCACTCTTGCGTTTTTCCAGAAGAAGAATAGGAATAGCATCTCCTTGCGTGCGCAGATCGACTGCTGTTCATCAGCAGTTCGGGTTCGTTCAGTGCGGAGTTTTAGTTTTTTAAATTGTAATGACTTCTCGCCTTTCTTTCTAAAGTCAAATTAAACGAAGAAACCAATCACCCCTTCCTCCGGAAGAGGTTTTTTGTCAGTGTAACCATTAAAAAAAAGTGTTCTTCCGAAATTTATCCAAAAACTTGCTAGTTTCACTTTGATTTTTTAAACTCAAGTAGGGTAACTCTGTTCGCAAAGGGTGTGCATTTGCAAAGAGGGCGCCACCAAATTTTGAGGACACTTTTTTAATTGGCTCAAAGAGAGAGAGGAGTGGCCCCTCTTGTTATGTAGACTCTTTGGTAATAATTGTATTTGCCTACAGAAACATCGCTAACGTTATGCAGTGCCTTCTTTTACTGTACTTGTATGTTATAACATTATGTCACGACCAATATGCAATGCTTTTGTAAATGGGTGGTTGGCGGGTGCTCTGGTGTGGTTTGCTTCTTCTTTCCTATCAAACATCTGTCGTCCTTATCTCCTCTTCTTCTTTTTTATGTTTGTTACTCTCTTATAAACCCTCTAATCTTCTGGTGCTCATATGACCTTATGCAGTTGCGAGCACCATAAAACCTCTACTAAAACTAAATAGCTTTTGTAAAAACTGTACTTGTGTATTTCATGACATTATGCAGTGCCTTCTTTTATGGTATGGTAGGCCTACTTGTATTTGTATGTTCGTATGTGCCATGACATCATGCACTGCCTTCTTTTACTGTATACACATACCCCTCGTGGGTGGTAGGCGGGTGCTTTGGTGTGGCATGCTCCTTGTTTCTTATCTAATATCTATTGTCCTAATCTCTCCTCCTTCTTTTTGTGTATGTTACTCTCTTGTGGGGATTCCACAAGAGCTGACTGGCCTCTATTTCGTAGAGGTCCTATTGTACAGAAAAAGCTAAATTCTTCTATCTCAAAAGTGTCACTGTTCACATTTAGCCAAGCATCTATCGTGTATGTGTGTACAGTAAAAGAAGGCACTGCATAATTTCTTGACACGTACAAACATACAAGTACAAGTAGGCCTACCATACCATAAAAGTGCATAAAATAGATAGAACAAATCTAAGAATTATCAGGAATTTGTACTGGGACCAAAACGCTGCTGTACAAATTAATGGAGAATACAGTAAATATAAGCAGATTAGGCGAAGAATGAGGCAAGGGTGTGTTATGTCACCAGACCTCTTTAACATGTACAGTGAAACAATCCTTAGAAACATAGAAGAATGTCCAGGCCTCAAAGTAATTGGAGAAAAGATTAATAACATCAAGTATGCAGATGACACAGTTTTGATAGCAGGCTCAGAAAAGGATCTTCAATTGCTTCTAGATACTGTTGTAACAGAAAGTGAACGTAAAGGATTATAGTTGAATGTAATGAAAGCAGAGTGCATGGTAATATCCAAAAAAGCAGCAAAGCCTAGTTGTAATCTCATTAGCAAAGGTGAAAAGATCAAACTAGTCCTACAGTTTAAATATCTAGGATATATGATAACATCTGATGCCAAATATTCCTCAGAATTTTTTTCTACTGTGGTTTCTTAGGAGACTGCTAAGAGTATCGTGGAAGGAAAAGAAATCAAATGAGGTAGTGCTTGATGAAGCCCACATGGGACGCTCAAGGTTAAAAACAATCAGGAAACGACAAATGCAGTTTTTGGGACTCATAAATAGCAAACATCTAGCTCTCACTGGCAAAATTGAGAGCAATCAAGCAAGGCAGGGGATGGCCCAGAACAACATACTTAGGGAACCTAAACAAATGGGTAACAGGGAAAGATCAGGGAAACGTAGATTTTTTTAGAGCATCCGAGCAAAGGAATGAATGGAGAACCATGATCGCCGATGTCTGTCACAGATCTGGCACTGGATGATGATGATGACTCTCTTGTAACACATCTTTTCTTCGGCACTTATATGACCTGATTGTGTTGCAAGTGCTATAAAACTCTTACTAAAACTAAAAAACATACACCTCTCTAACGGCACTTTCATGCTTATATATCATTATATTATCATATTTTCCCCAGGTCACTTCATAATGGCAACAGTAGGACCTCTGCGAAATAGAGGCCAGTCAGCTCTTGTGGAATCCCCAACATTTTCAGCCAACAAGGTATTGTAAATTATTACTTTATTGACACATTTTCGCATCTCTCATATACACATAAAATGTGTCACCACGCGATGGAATCAGGTGCCCATCAGTTTTTTTTATCATCTGAAAACTTACTCATTTTCTCCACTTTCTATGAAAAAATACCCGTCTATCTTGAATACAAGCCTAGATATTTTTTCCTAGAGCTAGGGCGAGAACAGTGCAGTCCTATAATATTTGCATTCTGTATTTCATGCAAATTGTGAATAGAAAATAAACTAGCCTTGACCTTGGGTTTCCAGCTGATGCAATTATTCTGCATTTAATCTCACCTTAGCTTATCTCGTGTCTCTTTTGTCTGAACAACTCTTCAGGTCCGATGTCTTCACTTTCACTACTTATTGAAAGACCCCAGTGTTGGTTCCTTGACTGTGTGGCTTGCTGATGGTCATGGGGCGGACAGTTACAAAGGCACACCATTGTGGATGCAGTCTGGACCAAAAGGATCTTCATGGTTGCCTGGTCGAGTCAAACTGAATTCTTCACTCTCCTATCATGTGAGTTGCCCTTATACTATGTGTCAATGCCTATGCAATATTTTAATATTTTAATGGAAATTGCTCCTTCTATAAAACCCTTTTTAAAATCTTTTTTAAATTTTTTTTATTAAACCCTTTGCTTTGATAATTGGCAGTGCACTTATCTATTGAAAAAATGGAAAAAAAAGTGCATGAATCTTATTTTGTAGCTTGTTTCAAAAGATTTGACAAGTAATCCTCTTTTTGAAATAACAGTAAAGAAGGCAATGTTACAGTGGCCCATCATTACTTTTTTCAAAGCTGATTTTGGTACATATTGGAAAATAGGTTTCTCTTTCATTTAGTTCAGTAAGAGTTGTACGGCGTTCGCAACTAAACGAAAGAGAAACCTACTTTCCCATAACATGTCAAAATCATCTTTGAAAACAGTAATGATAGGCCACTGTAGGTTACTGTTTCAATTAAATACTATCAGCCATACTTATTGAGCAGAAATTGCTGTGCATGTGCTATTTTGTTATATTATGTATTTAATGGGTAGCCTATAAATATGCTAATTGGTATACGACCGGGCTATTCAGCTCATGGGTATTCAAGCCCGATATATTCTGAATGATATATATGTGTCACACCTTTGGGGAATCAGGAGCTTGAAAATTTTTGATTATATAGAATTATTGTCTGTTTCATATCTGGCACTTGAGTATGGTGGTATTAGCTACTGAATGGAGGGTTTTTTTCTTTAAAAATGCATCACAATGACTTTCATACCATGCCTTAATGAGCTAGATATTGTTTTAATCTTGAGTTGTTTGTGGCTATTTTTCACAGCTTTTCTTTGAAGCAGTCCTAGGAAATGGTGGAACTATTGGTGTTGATGATGTCATGATAACGGACGATGACTGTTCTCGTAAGAGCTTGTCTGTTTGTGTTTACAAAGCCATATTTTTTGTGCATTGTTGTTTGTCTGAAGTTTTATTTTTGACAATAAAAACAGTTTAGCGACAAAACGCAACATATCCGTTGGTCCTGTTTAGAGAAAATGAAGATTTCTGTTCTTCACCTATTTACCGAATAATCTTGAGCAATGTTGTTTTTAGAGTACACATGAGGTTTAAATGATATTTGTTACTATGATGAAGTCTTGTTGGATTCTTAACATTTAAACAGATGAGATCTCCCCTCACACACCTTTAACAAAATGCAACATACCCAAACTACAATAATAAGGAAGTGAAGAAACTGCCGACCAATTTTCATCGCCACACGTGAAGTCACGTTACTCGAGGAAAGAACTTGATTTTGACACTGAGGATATGTCTTGGTTTGTCAAAAAAGGTCTATCACTTTCGTTGCATTTCGTAGTAACAGCCTAACTTTTCTGCTGTTTTAGGAAAAGTCGTCTTTTATGAAAGAAGGAGTTGATTCAGCAATGTTCCTCATTTTTTTTTAGATACGTCAGTCAGTACTACTTTTGCCAAACTGCAAAAATGGAGTTTGTCCTGTTTTGCTGTCAAACTGTTCATATGATTAAATAAAGTGCTATAATATTCTGAAAGGTGATTTCAAATACGGAGTACTTGCCTACTGAGTTCTGTTATGAAGGAGGAAGAAAGAAGGAAAGGAGATGGAGATGCAACAATGAGAAATGATGTATATGAACATCTGGGCATAAATGATTATAAGTGTTATTTTTCTGTTAGGGATTTTTAAAATTTCAATCCTTGCTGATGTGCAGTGAGTCTTTTTACTTCCACCAGTCAAAGTGGGTTAGGGAAGGGAGGAGAGCAGAGGGTCCAATTTATTTTGTATAAAAGTTACATGTCAACCATGAATACATTGGGAGCTCAGAAAATACATCCACTGGAGTATGAAATCCTGATAGCCAAGCAGTGATCTACAATATTAAATCTTTTTGTTCATCGATCTATCCTATCAATATTATTGTTATTAATGTTGGTGGTTGTTAATTGCCCTGTTGTGGTCTCCTTCGTCTATTTTGTTTGCTTCTTCTGTCCTTTAAAGCACCTGTTGTCTCCCCCCCCCCCCCGGCATTGCTACTGACTGAAATGTCTTTAGGCCATTACCAAAGCGGGGGGGGGGGGGGGGGGGGGGGGGGGGGACATTAGCATATCAACATGTTCGTATGTATTGTAGAATTGTAAATGGGCTGATTTATCAATGTCATTTTCATACTGTGCCAGAACAACACAGGGGGAATTACCGTTTTTTCTTTCCTTATCCTTATTATCGTCATTTTCCTCTACTTCTTTTGTATGTTTGTCACTCTCTTGTGAACTGCTATTTCTCCTCCTTATTTTCTTTGTATGTTGCCCTTTAGTAGCAACTCTCACCTGTGACGCTTATATGATCCATTTGTATTGTAAGTGCTATAAAACTCTAACTAAAACCAAAAAACCCCCTAAAACTGAAACAAAAAGAAAAACTTACTTTCTTTGGGGTTTTTTGGTCATACTCTGGCCTTAATGCTCTGTTTCACATCCGACTTGCCTTAATCTACTGCCAGTTACCAGCAGGTGTTGCTTTAGGCCTATAGCTGTTTTGTTTTTCTATTATGATTATATTAGATAACCTTTGTATTGCACATATCCCCATTCAACAGCAAACTCCCTGCGCTTTACGCTATATTTATACCCCAGCAGACCATAAAACTCACAGAAACATTCTCAGCTTCCTGGGAAGCATACAGTGCAAGCAGCTGATTAAATACTAAAACAGTAACAAACTGACAAGATCTTTCACTGTCTAAAACTGGATACCCTTTCCTTCCTGGGTGAAGTGCGGGAAATTCTTGTAAAGTGCCTTTCCCAAGGACACAATGTCAGGCCCCTGATGGGATTTGAGCCCATGACCTGTTAATGGTTGCGAGTCTGAGAGCCTAACCACTAGGTTACCGATGCCACATTATTTGATTGTGCTTTCATTATACTGTACATGCTGAAAGATGGTAAGATCAGACGGGCTTAAATGGATAGAAAGTAGAACAATCTTTGTTCATGGATAGGAAGTAAAATAATCATTGTTCATCATTGCTCATGAAATTATATTTGCTATGCCTGTCCAGCTTCAACATTGTTGGAACATTTTGTTAAGCACTAAATGTTGGCTGTCTTTTTTCTTACAGTTGTTCCTGTAAATGCGCTTCCTTCTCTTCAACCGACCACCACAACGGCCCCTGTCACTGCAACACCAGCATCTCCTACCTTCTGTAAGTAATCTGCGTGTGAATAAATCATCGGTAGGCTGCTCAAATGTACCAAGAAGCCAGAAAGGAAACTTTTGTGGGAAAGAGAACATTCTGTTTCATTCTTTTAGAACTTAGGTTATCTATCTTTTATTTATCTTATTTCAATGTTTAGAATTTGAATTTCGGCAAAATATTTCTTGAGCACATGCAAACAACTCCCAGATCTAAAATTAAAAACAATCTAAATACGTCTGAACAGCTGGCCAATGAAATGCTTTAAAAGTCGTATTGTTCAATTTCGGAAGCTTGCTGCCATAACACATTAATTAGTTTTTGTTGATTGTAGATTTTTTAGGGATACCCGTAGATTTTTAAACGTTTAATACTGCTCTGTACTTAAGAAGTTAGTTTGATGCTACATCTGTGCAGGTAAGCACAATGAGTTGCACTGATTTTTCTTACACCTGGTTTAAGAATAGGTAGATTGGGCAACTCATTTTCCAAGAGGAAAATAAAAACTCAGAAGTATAGAAAGAGCTGAAACTAAAGAAAAGCACGACTGCTCGTGGTGGCAACAAGGACAAAGTGTTTTTTTAAAAAATATTATTTTTAAATTGACCCTACAAATAACTAAGAAAATACCACAAATTTGATTTGAAAATACGGAGAGAGTACAGTTTTGCCCCCCACCAAAAAAATAAATCTTTTTACGATGATAGAAGACTCTCCTGTAACAGTTTCTGAAAGACATCTAAAAGAATTAACTTATTTCCTGATTTCCTGGTTTTAGATTTGAGAAAGATTGTGTTTTGTATTAGGAAAGGAAAGAATAAATTGACCTACACTGTTCCATTCATGTACTGTATGAAAGAACACGTAACTCAATATCTTTATGTCTTTTTTTGTTGAGTTAACGCATTGTTTTGTCCTCTAACAGCACCTTCTCCATATGATTGTGATTTTGAAAATGACATCTGTACCTGGACTAAAGATTCCACGGCCGATTCAAACTGGATTCGAGCTCAAGGTCCAACAGGGTCAACAGGCACTGGTCCAACCGTGGATCACACAAAAGGCAACAGTGAGTCACCTCTGTGAATTCTGGGCAGTTGTTTGGGATAAGAAAAAATAAACTATTGGCTATAGAAATGTGGTTTCTAAGAAGACTTTTGAATCTCACAAAAGGAAAAGAAATCGGATGAGATACCGCAGTGCTGAATGAAACCATGGTCGGACATTGACTAATATAAACAATAGGGAAGAGGCAAAATTTATTTAGACAACTTGAACTGATGCTTGATGGGAAAAGATCAGGATAATACAGGGTTTTTTAGTTGAGAGTATTTGTGCAGAGAAATAAATGGCTAACCATCTTCGCGAATGTCTGTTTCAGATCTAGTTTTTGGAGAAGATGGAGAAGAAGTGATCATTTTCTGTTTTGTTAGGTGAGCAGTACATGCACTTGTCCATAGAAAACTTCGTTACCGACATATTTGCTCAAAAGTAAATCGTACTCTCTTATATTATGCTCTGGTATTAGGCATGCTTTCATCCACAGTTATAATTATATACGTGAGAACACAGACAATACACAAACACACAAATCACCCACACAGACACACATTCACAAACTTACATACACACATACACACACACATACACACACACGTGCACAGAAATGTACACAGATGCACACAGACGTGCACACTTATGAACACATGCTCACAAATGCACACACTGATGCTTGGTAAATGAAAAGTCTCATGTTCTTTTTTTGTTGGTTTTTTTTCATTTACAGGACAAGGCTGGTATATGTATATGGAGGCATCTACTATGAGTCCTAACGAAACATCCCGCCTTTTGAGTCACTCTATTGGTGCAGGACCAAGATGCCTTCACTTTTACTACAATATGTATGGATTTTACATCAACAAGCTGAATGTGTATATACAGCAGAACAACAACAAGAAACTAGTCTTTAATCGGCAAGGAAATCAAGGTCCTTCATGGAAAAGTGCATCGGTCCAAATCAACCCCACCGGCCAGTATAAGGTATTATGAGTGTTGGTTTTGTTTCGGTTTCATTTGGTTTGGTTTGGCTTCGTTTCTCTCTCTTGCCCTTTTTAACTCCCAGTGGAGCACAGGCCATCAACAGCATTACTCCAGCGAAGCCTGTCCTGAGCATCCTTTTCTATCTGTTTCCATGATGTCCCCGCTTTTTCGGCTTGGTGGCTTCCTTTCAGCTTTCACCACCCTGAGTCATTCTACACTCCATATTCTCTCCTCTCCTCGGTGATGAAGGTCCTCCATCTTCCAGAACTGGCAGTCATGTTGTTTTTGCTGTTGATGTTTTTGTAGCTGCTTTTTGTTTCACGGGAAAGGGCTGCTAACCCTTTGCCCAACCGACCTTAGTCGCCTTCTACGACATGCGCGGTACGGATACAGTGGTCCTATTCTTTGGTCCCCTATCTCTTGGACAGGGCCCCGAGAACCACACGAGAGTTGGCTTTGTTTGATATACATTTAATTCCACTTGTAGAACAACAACTTTGTCAGAGAAAGTAGTTTCGAAAGTCTGATATGACGGGGGGGGGGGGGGGGGAAGCGCATTAAGGTTTCACTATTCATCATGGAATTGGGTTAACAGCAGTTTTTAGTTTTAGTAGAGGTTTTACAGCGCTCATAACTGCATAAGGTCTTATGAGCGCCAAGGGGTGGATGTCAACAGAGAAGTCCTTACAGGGAATCAGACTTACTCTGCTCACCTCCCTAGCTTCAACAGCACAAAGTCTGCTTTGACTATCAAGGCGCCCTGGAAATTGCGGGTCACAGGAGTGTGACAAACATACAAAAGAAGTAGAGGAGAATGACAATAGTAAGGATTAGGAAAGAAAAAGCAGCAGTTCCCTGTTGTAGATCAGGCATGGTTATGAGCATGACATTGATGAATCAGCCCATTTACAATTCTACTGTGCATGAACGAGAAATGTCCCCCTTTTGGGAATGGCCTAAAGACACTTCAGTCAGTGGCACCGCCCGGGGGATATTAACAGCAGTGAAAATTTATCAATAACCAAAGTTGAAGAACGCTGCACAGGGATTCATATCAGGTTTGAATGCACTGCAGTCATGTGTGGTATCTATACCTACTCTGTTGTGCCCGGCGCTTGTGTATTGCTTTCAAGTACTGATTTGTATCATGTCAATACTGTGTTCGTATCTAGCTTAACTCTATTAATGTTTATATTACTGTTCATTTATGTTATGCATGTGACTGTGAGCCTGTTTATGAGTGCAAGCAATAATTATGGTTATGTGCACAGATGTGTGTGGAAGAGAGGATGTGTGAGGGAAAAGTGTACGTATATATGGGTTTGCCATGTGCGTGTGTATGCGTGAGTGTGTGTGTGTGTGTGTGGGAAACGTCAAACCAATGTGCTAGTATGGAGACTATAAAGAGTATCTTATCTTATATCATTGGCAAGATTTTCAAATGTTTTACGCCCAATAAGCAAAATTTTTCAGGGTAGAAAAAAAAAAAAAAAAAATTGTTCCTTTAACAATGGAACCTATATTATGGATCTTTTCATACTTTTTCAACACTTAAAATCTGAATTTAGGCAAAGTATATCCAGAGAACATGCAACCGATCCCACAAATTATGAAAATGCTATAGATAGAATTTTCACATTTTAATTTGGGCGTAGTACATATTCATGGTCATGGTAAGCTGTGGAAGTTATCAAAACAAAATCCATGTGTACATTGGTGAAGAACACATTATTTCCTTTTGTTTTGATTTACCATGTATTCTTCAGTAGGTAAAAGCAAAGATAGTACATAACAAGATGGGCCACTTCTCTCTTTGAGCCAATTAAAAAAGCGTCCTCAAAATTTGGTGGCGCCCTCTTCACAAAAGCGCACTCTTTGCGAACAGAGTTACCCTACTTGAGTTTTAAAAAATCAAAGTGAAACTAGCAAGTTTTGGGATAAATTTTGGAAGAACGCTTTTTTTTAATGGTTACGCTGACAAAAAACCTCTTCCGGAGGAAAGGGTGATGGTTTTCTTAGTTTAATTTGACTTTAGAATGAAAGGCGAGAGGTCATTAAAATTTAAAAAACCTAAAACTCCGCACTGAACGTACCCGAACTGCTGATGAACAGCAGTCGATCTGCGCACGCAAGGAGGTGCTATTCCTATTCTTCTTCTGGAAAAACGAAAGAGAGCTTCAAAACAGACTGCAGCGCCATCTGAAGCAAAGAGCATACTTCCTGCGGACACTTTTTTGGCTGAGTGGACCATCTTGTTATTTACTATCATTGGTAAAAGTAAAAAGTCTTTATTTCAAAAGATAACCTCTCAAAGTACCTCTCATGCAGAACCTGTGCTTTTTCAATTTGAAACCTTTGTTTAATAAGTGAGTGCTTTTATATGATGTGATGCCTAGTTACACACCAAATAAACTTAGGCTACTTTATCTTGAAAGATTGTTTAGACTGACAGTGTTGCTGGAGTTAAAGAAGATGTGGCATCGGTGGCCTAGTGGTTAGGTTACCAGACTCGGAAACGTGAAGTTGCGAATTCAGGGGTTTGATCTGCAGGCCCGACGTTGTGTCCTTGGGAAAGGCACTTTACTCAAATTTTCTTCACTTCACTCAGGTGGGAATGGGTACCTGACCATAGACGGCAAAAGATCTTGCCAGTATGTTAGTGTTTTAGCAGCTATAAATGGCAGCTTGCACTGTATGCTTCCCATGAAGTTGAGGTTTCAGAATGCTCTCAGGTCTGCTGGGGTAATAGTATGCTTGCTGTTGAGCGGGGTTTTGCGCTATACAAATGCTATCTATTATTATTATTATTATTATTATGTCCAGGATTTATCTTATTATTTCTCTTTTCTTCTTTACCAGATTGTTTTTGAAGCAGTTCGCGGAATGAGTTATGAGGGAGACATTGCCATAGATGATATTGCTGTGCCATCAGGGCCTTGCCCAGGGACGGGGATCTCTCCAGACAGTAAGAACTAAACTTTTCCTGTATCATAATTTATTTTTTCTGTAATATTGTCATGCTCATAAGATACATGCCTAAGGCCCCACATCCACTGGCATTTTTCGTCAGTTGCAGGCCAGGCTCACTTGCAAATGAGCTCGTTTTCGTCAGTCACTAACTTCCTTTGCCTGACTACGCGATTTCCTGCTTGTACGCTTTTTCGTCAGCTGCACAGTTGACTAAGAAAGCCTTGATTCGACTCATTTTGGAAGGAAATTTGCATCTCTAAGTACATTTTTGCTTCTTCATTGCTCTTTACATTATCAATAAAGTTGTATCTCATTATAACATGTACAATAATAGATTTGTGCTGAAAAACAGCAAAAAAAATTGAATAAAAGCACTTGACCTAGGTTATTTCGTTCTCGAGAGAGCTAAAAATAGGCTAGGTTAGCCAATACCCAGTTCAGCCCTCAGTCGGCTCGTAAGAGGTAAAATGTATGCCAGAGATAGACTCTAGCCTCAGCGTACTAAAAAATAGGGTAGACTTATTTAGACCTGTACTTATGTCTTTATAGATCTACACACCTGAAACAATGCTGAAAATGTAAATGAAAAAATAAATTGCCTGTGCTTTTGCTGTCTGTTGTTCTCATAATCATAACACACTGGGCTAAAAATAGGTTTAGCTGGTCTGACGTGGTGGACATGGATCTTTTTGAGTCGGTTCTACACCATGCTAAAACTTTGTACATTGGTCTGACCTAGAAGCGATCTTATTTTGGTGGACGCATAGACTAAGTCATTTGTTACTGCTGAACTATCAAAATAGAGAAAAGATTAGATGTTGCTTCTGTAGCACACACTGTACGGACTGATGACAAACACACAATTTATGAGTCTCCTATTTCAGAATCCAAAAGCTTTGGAAGATGTATGAATAGATAATAATATGATATATATTAATAACAGGTCTCTTGTGTTAGTGTAAGATATTTCAGGAGAGAGAGAGAGAGAGAGAGAGAGAGAGAGAGAGAGAGAGAGAGAGAGAGAGAGAGAGAGAGAGAGTTTAATTTTGTTAGAGCATGTATACTATGTCTCTCGTTGCAGGTGGAAAAATCACGTGCACTTTTGAAAACAGCGATCCCGCTAAATCCCTTTGCGGCTACACTCAAGATAAATCGGATGTCTTTGACTGGGGTGTACACAGTGGAAGCACAGGGAGTGCGCAGACAGGACCCTACACAGATCACACTTATGGCTCTTTGAATGGCCATTACATTTTTATTGAGAGTTCTTCTCCAAGAAAACAGAATGATACGGCCCGCCTTATTAGGTAACTGTGGTCTCCTTGATCCTGATTTTCTCAGTTTGTTGAACCCTTTTATGGCCTCAGTAGGGATAAAGACTGGATGTGAGGCATGCCATGACCATCAATGATTTATTTATAGAGGCACCAGCCATTCATGTCCAGGTGCTGTTTTAGCCTTAATGTGAGGCATGCCAACAAAATTATTTCTTGCTCTCCACAAATGGAGATATTGGCTGAACGTTAACACAGGGGTCAAATTTGTAGATTTTTAAACTAATGAATCCATTTTCTTCAATTTTAACATTTGTCTTATCATTTCATACTTACACTATAAATTGTAAAATCTCAGTCTATAAATTTGACGTATCTCTGTCTATAGGGCTAAAATCTGAGAAGTGACTCATTTGTCAGCACGCCTAAAATGTATAATTCAAGTCTTTAACGATATTGTTTTACAGTTCTGTAGTATTGATATCCTATTTAAAATTTCCAGAATTTCATAACTGAAATTAGGTACAGTAAAGTATTAATTTTTCATTTCTCCAATACCCTGATTTTTTTCTGAAAACCTCTTATATTTGATTTATTGAATATACCATATATTTTAAGGTTTGGACTTGTGAAATGCTTTTTCTGAAAAAAGTACGATCCCTATTGAATTTTCTTACCTTTGGTAGTCTTTGGTGTTCTGATAGTCGAATTACATTTTTTCCCCCACCACAACTCAAGTAATGAATTATACATGTTTGACTTTCTGCTTTCCAGAGGACTGCTTGTGTCCCCTATTTCTTAAACTTGATTGTGTTTACTTTCCAACTGTATGGGTCACAAATCCTCCATTTTCTAGACAGTGGCTCTCATTTGATTATCACCAATTCCACAGCCCTACCTACTCACAATCTTCAAGCAACCAACACTGTCTCAGCTTTTACTACCATATGTATGGCGTTGACATTGGCACACTCAATGTATATCAAGTCAAGAGTGGGGCTTCAAACAATCTTGGCTCTCCCAGATGGAGTTTCTCTTATGATATAGGTCGTGGCTGGAGGAAAGCAGAGGTCACCTTGGATCTTGATGGCAGCTATCAGGTTTGTAACCTCCGATAGAATATGTTTTTGTTGAAATTGTATATCCAGCTGTCTATGAGCTTATATAATAAGGCCCAGTGCCACATTCCAGAGTCTGAAAGTCTTTATAAGTGTCACAACGTGGTGGAATTGGGCGCTCGTCAGTTTTTGGGCATGTAGAGTTAGGGGTATCATCTTAAAGTTTGTTCTGTTATCTTGCTCTAGCTGAAAAAAATACCTGTTAATCTTGGATAGGAGTCGGGACAATTAATGAAAAAAGAGAGGATTGCTTGGTTTCAGCGGTAAACTTGCGAGAAAATGGCTGCCAAAGTTTGGTAACTTCCATAGTTTGAAAGTTCTTAGAAACTGAAAATGTACATTTTATGTGCCTTTAATCAACATGTTTAGTAAAATCCACACTGAAATGTATTTTTAAATGGACATAAAAGGTGTTGAGCCTAAAAACAAATTGCCAAAATAATAAAAATTAATAAAAATGGCCAAACTGGCAGAAAAATTCAGTTTTCTTCAGTTTCATTATTTTAACGAGCACCTGATATCACCTCGCTGCCTCACATATCCAGCTGTCCATGGGCTCAAAAGGCCCAGTACCACATTCCAGAGTGTGGAAGTCTTTTTATTGTTATGCTAATTCATATCTAAGTAAAGAGTAGGCCTATTGTATGGTTCAAGGATGTAGCAGAGATGTTGCAAATTGAGTTTTTAGAAAAACGGGTGTCAGACAGATGTGTGATCGTGATCACTTGATAGACAACAGAATATGAATGGAGCAAAATGTCGAAAGAGACTCAAAAGTGGTGTGATATAGAAAAGTTTACTCTGTGGCTTGTTGTGTGTTGTAAGTATTGTAATTCTCTAAAGCAGGTAGTAGCTAAAATGGAAAACATATATATGTGACTGATCTACCACAGTTCACCATTAGTGCAGATGACTGCAGGGATGATATTGGATCACTATGGGCACATTCAGAACCTAGTGCAGGAGAAAAAAGTGTTGAAATTTCATTTCCAAAATTCTTAGATAATTGTCTTCCTTGGTGGGTCGTTGACGGGTGCACTGGTGTGGTCTGCTTCTTCTTTCCTATCAAACATCTATTGTCTTCTTCACAATTAGACTCACACAAACCAAGTCATTGTCCCATTTCTGCTTTTACATTTTTTTCTTCTTTGAGCAATTGTTGAAGTTTCCAGCAAATAATTAACCATCTGTTTTGCATTAACAGGTTGTTTTCGAAGGCGTAGTCGGCTCTAGCTTCAGGAGTGATATTGGTGTTGATGACATTAGCCTAACTTCTGGAGCATGTAGCAACACTCGTAAGTGAACAAAACACTACCTCAGAATCACAAAGTTCCATCTGACATTTTTGGCCGTTTTGAGTTACCAAGACCATGAGATCAGAAATCAAATTAATGCTCTATTTGCTCTATCAGAATTGTAAGGTTTTTCTGAGTCTTTATCAAGATATTCAAAGAATTACATTCCAAAATGCTTGACATATTGAGAGACTCAAAGTTTTTTGGCGGTAAGTTTCTCAAAACTAGGTACTGAGCAGATAGAGCTTGCTTTGTAATTCTGAGAGAGAAAAAATGATACAGAGCAACCCTTTAGAGGATGGATGTGTCTTGTTTTATTTTTAAAGATATTCTTCCGAACAACACAATATTCTAACTTGTTGTTATTTTAGCTGTTATGCTGAATTTTGGTTATTGCTTTGTAGATTTTTTTAAATTTAATTTTTTTCCCCCATAGATATTTTTGTGCTCTGAGTGGACAACATAATATTCATTTTTGTTGTTCTCATTAATAAATACTTACAAAAAGACCCGTGTATGAGGTGTAGCGGTTAGGCTCTTTGCCGTCGCATGCAGAAGACATAGTTTTCCCTTTACGGGGAGAATTTTATGTCATGCGAGGATAAATTCATACAAGACACAAGTAGGTTATTCCAAGAGTGGACAACACTGCCGTAAGCTGACAAAACGCCTTTTTTCATTTCGGCACCCAAAATTTTTATTTGCTAAATCGAAAGCCTGATCAGTTATCCTACTTGTGTGAAAAAAAATCTAAGTGAAACTGTGACTAGTTTTCCAATAAATTAGAATTCAAATTTCAGAAGCACTCTATTTTTCAATAGTTACCCTGACAAAAACTTCTTTTTCTTGAAACTGCTGTGAATAAAAAAAGGCATTTTGTCTTCTTCCGGCAGAACATGCTGTTGGGTAGCATATTTTTTTTTTTACTGCCCTGGGCAATCTGCTTTATTAAAGAAATGAAAGAAGAACACCATCGGGGGTGTAAAATGGTATAGGTTTAATGCCCCTATCAACACTGTTAGGTTAATTAAGAGGTTGGACCTCAGAGTTAAACATCCATCTCCGAAAGGACCGAGCCAAGTGGGAAATTTGTGCAAAGTGCCTTTCCCAAGGACACAACATCGAACCGAGCTGAGGCTCGTAACCCTGAACCCGCAATCTCACGATTACGAGTCTAGTAGCCTAACCACTAGACTACCGACGTCACAGCATCTGTGGTGTTATGGTTTACGGTACTTCATTGTTGTATGCAAAAGACATGAGTTTGAATCCCATGTGGAGAGTTTAAAAAACAAATTAGATATCTCTGCCTGTCTCCTGGGACACTGTGCCCCTCTCTCTCAGTCCAGGTTTGCCTTGACAGGCAGGCTTGAGGCAGCCTGCATTCTTATTGTCTAAATTGTGTCAATAGAGATGTAAAACATTGACAGTTATTTTCATATGGGTGAAAGACTACTGGACAAGAGACGTATGCACAAAAGAAAAATGCCAGAGAGACTGCGGTTTAAGTGCTGTACCTTTTTATATCCTCCAGCCTGCCCGAGGGTTCATGTATATGTGAGGTGTGCTCAGATTTTACCCCTATAGACATAAATATATCAAATTTATTGGTTGAGTTTGTACAATTTATTTGTATGAAGTTATAAAAGTAGTGTTAAATTTTAAGAAAATGTAATCCGTTATTAATCTATAAATTTGACCCCCGTGTCAATTTTTGTCCTATATCTCCATTCGTGGACTGCGAGAGCCAACTTATTTTGTCAGCACGCTTCACCTATTATAATACTCTGTCACTGATTCTATTGTAAGTTCTATAGTAGTCATCATCACTGCCTTTCTCCCCCTCCATCAGGTTATAGGCTACGAATAAATACTTTCCATCTGTCTCAATACTTGACTAGCCTCTTGATATTATTTCATGTGATTCTATAGCTGTTGAGCAACTATGGGAGAGATGATTATACGGTCTGTGTTTTGTTTCAGTACAATGCCAGTTCACTTCAGACACATGTCTCTGGACAAATACTTATGACAGTTCTGATGATTTTGATTGGATCCGTCAACATGGTAGCACATTCTCCTCTTTAACTGGACCCAGCTTTGACCACACTTCCCAGAACAGCCAAGGCTCCTACATGTTCATCGAGACCTCCTCAACGAAACAGGGCGATAGGGCACGGCTTGTTAGTCAGGTGAGCACTTGTGCAAAGGAAAGATGGAACAAAAATCATCATGTTTGAAACCTAGATGAACACTTTGCTCCCATGGGCAGCGATGGTGTGATATAGTATGTACTGCATCTGTATCCTGGTTGGTATGGAAAAGTGTTGTGCGCTCTGCGCGCTGCGTTGGTGGAAAGTGTTAACTCTTTGAACCTGGAGGGTTTTTTTTTCATTACTCATGCGGGTTTGACCCCTACACTTAGATTTCAAAGCAAATATTCCCTCCTCTAAACCTACTTGGGAAGGAAAGATGCTTTAATAGGTTATTTTGAATGACTTCCCGAGGCCAGGAAATTAAACTAAGTGATTTCAAAGCGTACAAGGGTTTCCACATGGTTCAAAATGAAGGACATAGTGTCATAGAAGATCAATGTTGGAAGCGGTACTCCGGGTGTCTACATTTCCTAAAAATCAATGCTGACAGCATCACTACATATTCAAAGCGTTAAGACATAAAAAAGCGTCCCCCCCCCCAAAAAAAGAGCAAAAAAAGAAAAAAAGAAAAACAACCCTCTCCCCCCCCAAAAAACCCCAACAACAACAAACGTTTAACGTTTCACACAAGAGATGTACATTCAGGAAAACAGAAAATTTATTATGGTCTGCTTTGAAAACTATTGTCAAGCTAGGGTAGCCACTTTACACAAATTTTCCTCACTTTACCCTGGTGAGAACGGGTACCCGGTGGCTTAGTGGTTAAGCTCTCAGACTTGGAATTGTAAGGTCAGGGGTTGAAATCCCGTCAAGGGCTCAACATTGTGTTCTGGGAAAGGCACTTTACACGAATTTTCCTCACTTCACCCTGGTGGGAACGGGTACCCAGCTACAGACAGTGAAAGATTATGTCAGTTTGTTAGTGTTTGAGTGCTTAATCAGCGTCTTGCACTGTATGCTTCCCGGGAAGCTGAAAATGTTTCTGAATGTTCTATGGTCTGCTGGGTTAATAATATAGTGTGTAAAGCGCATGGGGCTCGCTTTCGAGTGAGAATATGCGCTATAGGAATGCTATTTGTTTATTATTTATTATTATTATAGAAAGCGGGAGATCTTGTCAGTTTCTCATTGGTGTTTGAGCTCTTAATCAGCTGCTTGCACTGTATGCTTCTGGGGAAGCCAAAAATGTTTCTCAATATTCTAAGGTCTATAGTGTAATAATGTAGAATGCAGAGCACATAGAGCTTGTTGTTATACCGTGATATGTTCTTTACAAATATTATTATTTTTATTCTTATTGTTGTTTTTATTGTTATTATTATTGTTATTATTATTATTATTATTGTATGTCAATAATGTTTGCATTCTGCAGGTTATGCGTCCAGTTCATGGAGGGGACCACTGTTTCAAGTTTTGGTACCATATGTATGGCTCCTCCATTGGAACCTTGCGAGCCCTGGTCATGCACAATGCCAGCTACGATGTCATTTCATCTGAAGTAACTGTGTGGGAACTCAGTGGAGGCAGTGGGAACCAGTGGCTTCAGGGACAGGCCAATATCAGTAAAAGTTTAACCTTGGAACCTTGGATGGTGAGTAGTGTGGTGGAAAGGATTGCTATTTTTCTCTGAGCTCAGTTGCCACAGTGGTTTTTGAAACTTGTTTTACTGTTTTCAGTACTCGTTCTCGGTTGTTATTTCCTTAAATTCACCAAGCATTTAGCAAAACTTTTGAATGTGATTATGTCCATTTTATTTCTTTGCTAAAACTTAACCAATGTCTGAGTTTGTCACTTTGTTATCAAGGCATAGTTAGTGAAGATATTCATCTTTGCTTTGAAGGGATATGGGACAATCGACTGGCCCATTAATTTATAATTAAGGGCACCTGACTTCACCTGGACTGTGTGAAAGGCAAGATTATTTTAAAACGAACAACACTGCACATTGTGTGTTGTTCACGGGCCAAGGGGAGTTCCTTATGAAGCCATGCCTCTGTCTTCAGTTTGAAGAGATACAAGACAATTGATTATCACTTTCACTACAGAAATCTTTTACTCATTGGTGGAGTTGGTGGTCTAGTGATAGGCTGTTGAGTTGCAATGAAAGATTGTGGGTTTGAACCCTGTCAGGGGCCTGACATTGTGTCCTAGGGAAAGACACTTTACACAGATTTTCCTCACATCCCCCCTGTTCTGGTTCCTTAGATCATCCTTGAGGGTGTAGCTGGCTCAAGCTACCAAGGCGATATTGCAATTGATGACACAGAAATCATCTCAGGCACCTGTAAGACCAAACCAGCAGACGCGGAACCTGTCGTTGATGGTAAGGAAAGCAAACAAAAATGCTTGTGTTGATTCCTTGTCACTGGCATATTACTATCTTACTTTACTCTTCACTTTTTCTGACATCAGTTACCTTGCAATATTGAAGGGCATAGCAAACGTCTTTATCTTGTTTGTTGTATTGCCTGTTGCATGGTTATGTCATTCTAGACTTATCGCTACCTTAGAATTACACTTTTCTGTCTGGAATTTTTTGACCATTTTGAGTTGCTAAGACCATGAGGTCAGAAACCAAAGGTTCTATCTGTTCTATCAAAATTGTAAGATTATTCAGGGTCGTTATCAAGATATTCAAAGAATTGCACTCGAAAAAGCTTGACATGTTGTGAAATTTCTCAAAACAAGGTACTGAACTGATACATCTTTGTAATTCTGAGGAAGCAAAATATTTCTCTGACTCCCTCTTTCTTTTTATGTTCGGGGCTGCCTCTTCTTCTGTTTCCATGTGGTTGTATACCCTCGCAGAAGCATTTGTTGTTATTACTAAGCTTATCATTATTATTATTATTATTATTATTATTATTATTATTATTATTATTATTATTAATATTAATATTAGCGTTATTATTATTATTATTTTAAACAAAAGTTATAGCAGGAACCCTTAAATTGAGTAATACAAAGCTTGAAATTTGAAGCAACGTCTTTGACAGCATTTTCTGAGTACTGATGTCATAGGAAGGTGAATAACTTTGTTTTGTTATTATCATTGACTGCCCTTTTGTAATGGTGTGAAAAATGAATACTTTCAAAAAGATATCTTTGCAGAATACTGTAATTTTTATTTTTTTAGTCTTTTGAAGTTGAACATGGTTTGCTTTTGATTGTGAATTCTGCACTTCTCTGTTACATTGTCATATTCAAGTCTTTATCTCCTACTTCTTTTTCTGTTTTGAATTCTCTTCAATATATTATGTTCTTCCAGATTATTTTTACAGTTTTGACAAAAGGTTATGACTTGGTGTTTGAAATAGATCAGAAAATGTGAAAAAATGTTTTCTGTCTCTTTTCCAGCTCATAAGAGTGTGAACTGTGACTTTGAAAATGGCACAACTTGTGGTTGGACACCCCATGGCTATGGTTCCTCAAAATGGGAGGTGAAAAGGGGAGCAACAGGATCCATTGGTACAGGGCCCTCAAAGGATCATACTGTGGATGCAAGTAAGTGATCATATTGTTGTTTTTTAAAACGGATGTACAGATGTGTTAAAGTTGTGAGTGAATATTGTAAGGTTATGAAGACGTATTGTAAGATTCTGAAGAAAAGGTAGTGGAACTATTGCGTAGAATTTGAGCAGTACCTTGATTTCACCTTATTATTACTTGTCTTACTTGTCCACTGTTTTGGGATCACTGCAGTTGGAACATGTCCATCTCTGCTCTCCCCCCCCCCCCCCCCCCTTCTTCAGGAAAAAAACTACGGTGTTTGTGCTCCTTGCTCGAGCTCCTCTTCAGGATAAAACCTTATTATTATTATTACTGGGATGTCCTGTCAAAATTGTTCAAGATAGCCACTCATTTTTGTGGAGTGGACTACTTGGAAAGTGTCATTAGGCCTATACTATTTCTTTAAAAATGTAAGGGGGGAGGGGGGGGGGGAACGGTAAGCGGTTGTCTGTTTTAATTTTAGTAAGAGTTTTATTGCACTTGTAACACACTAGGTCATTTAGGCCTAAGTGCCAAAGATTACATGTGTACAAGAGAGTAATGAACAGAAAAAAGAAGGAGGAGAGGTAAAAACGATAGATATATGATAGGAAATAAGGAGCAAAACCACACATCTTTTGTAGAGACGATTGCCTTAAACAGGTGGCCATTATAGCGTGCTCAGCTGTATATTATTATGTCTTTTGGGCTCTCAGAGCCAATGGTTCAAGTGTCAGGTTCTTTGCAAATGACTTTTTTGCTCTATTTTTTAACGTAATGAACAAGGCTTTTTGTCATCAGAAAATGAACGTGGTTCAAACGAGATTGTTAGTCCTTTCAATACAGAAGATTCAGTTCTTCGTCTGCCTGTAGCTCTGATGTGCCATGCCCAAAATTTAAACAAAATATTATTTTTATTGCAGTTTTGTAATCTGTGGTGCTGGTTGCATTTTGGCCTACTCAAGAAATATTTTGTCAAAATTCAAATTCTAAATGTTGACCCCCCAAAGAAAATAAACCTAAAGTAGGTATTATTGTTAAAAGAAGGAAACAGTTTTTTTCTTCTCTCTCCTGAAAAAATTTGCTTTCCAGACTTAAAACATTAAAGCTTACTATTTTAGATAGGCCTACATAAATTAGATCAAATACTAATAAATGAGTGAGCTAACACTGATGAAAATGCCCGTGTTAAATTTTCCTAACATGTTTCTTTTTGTTTCCAGCAAATCAAGGAAAGTACATTTATGTGGAAGCATCAACAGGAAGTGCAGGAGACTATGCAGTTCTCACATCTCCTGTTTTGCCTGCGACTTCCACAAGCCCAAGATGCTTTACGTTCTGGTATGTTCTTCAGGCTCTAGTAAACTTTGTGGTGAATTCCTGTGTTTACTCTTAAATTGATACGCACTAATAAAAATAATGATAATAATAATAATAAGAAGAATAACAAAAATAATAATAGATAGCCTTTGTATTGCGCAAAGTCCCACTCAGGGGCAAGCTCTGTACACTTTACAATCTTTATTATTACCTGAACAGACTTTATAGCTTTCTGAAACAATCTCAACTTCCTGGGAAGCATACAATGCAAGTTGCCATGTTTTATAGGTGCTTAATTACTAATATACTGACTAACATACTGACAAGATCTTTCCTTGTTTATGACTGGGTACCCATTCTTACCTGGATGAAGTGAGGAAAATTCTTGTAATGTGCCTTTCCCAAGGACACAATGTAAGGCTTGAGGCTCGAACTCCTGAATTTGCAACCTCACAATTACGAGTCCAGTAGCCTAGCCACTAGACTACCGATACCACACTCATTAACACACAGGCTTGCATACATGCTTTTGTATTCGTATTCTCACCCACCTATTCTCACACAATTATATATCCTTTTTGGGTGTATCTTTTACGTAAACAGACTCCAGCAAACTTTAAAATTTATGGTCACTATAAAGTTGTCACTGATTAGCGTCTCTGAAAACCCTTTAAAAAAAAAGTTGTATCACTCCTGCATGTCATGTTAAGAGCTCCTGTATCATAAACAAGGCAAAAAAAAAGAGTAGGTATAATGTTTCGTACTGATTCTGTAAAGCAGAGTCAGAGTCCCTTATTTATGTGGCATCGTGGTGAAATTAGGCGATGGTGAAAAATAATTAAGTTGAAAAAAAACAACAACAAACAAACCCATTTTTCCTTCCGTTGGACAATTTTTATCAATTTTTATAGTGTTTTTTTGGGTCTAAACACACATTAAGCATAGATCAAAGACAAGAAATATGAATTTGCAGTTTCCAAGAATTCTCAAGCTTTGGAAGTCACCAAACTTTGGTGGACATTTTCTTGCTAATTTTTCCAAGACACCAGGTGACCCCACTTCTTTCAATCACAAATATCTCTACCTTTATTCGAGATAAATGAATATTTATTTCACCAAAAGCAAGATAAATAAACAAGCTTTAAAATAGCATCAATAACTTCATAGACCTATGCCCAAAAATTGACAAGTTTCTGATTCCATTGCGTTACGACCAAAGAGTTTATATATAATACTAGGGCTCGCAGCAATGACGTCACAGATGTTAGACATGGGGACCTTTATACCCCCATCGGCATGGCCAGTGTGCCCAAATTTTTAAAAGAAAAATCTGAACCCCCACCCTGCTCCCCAGGAGCACAAGTATATCAAACACTGCTCTGCACCCACATTTCAGTGCAAGCTTATAGATTTCCCCCTAAGACCACCGAGACACCCCCATGTGGGTCTAGAAAAGTACTCACCCATCTGTTGAACAGTGCATGTCTAGCCCTTGAAGTTCAGCATCCCAGAGTGGGCACACACAGCCCCTATTTGTTTGCATGAGGGACATCACTACCACGAATTCTAGTACAAAACATAACCCCTTTGGATATGACACATTTTTCTTGAGAGTTTAGTGTACTAAAGTTAACCCAGCATTTAGCTCCCAAGACAAACACTGGAAAACATATTGCTATAACTATAAGGCCTTTTATTTCATTTACAACCTACTTTTTGTTTTCAACATTGGGTTTCTTTTACCGTCCGGTTTAGAAAACAGCGATGTCTTTTATAAGCTGTTAAATAAGCCTGTTTTTTTTGGTTTCCCCAGGTATCATATGTATGGTCCCGATATAGGCAGCTTGCAAGTTCTTTCCAGTGCTGGCAAAGCAAACAGTATCATATGGCAAAAGGAGCATACCCAAGGCAATAAGTGGATTAGAGCCTCACTTACACTTCACAGCACCCATGATTTCCAGGTGAGACCACGGGCTTGTTGTTGTAGTTGTTGTTGTTATCGATCCAGCAAATTATTAATCCGCAGACAGGAAAAAGAGGCTAAAACAGCACCTGGACATGGATGGCTGGTGCCTGTATAAATAAATAATTGATGCTCAAGGTCAAGGTCATCAATCCAGCAATAGCTGGGCCCTCGCCCTTCTGTCCAATGCCATGTAGTGATAAGTGCAGGTTTGCTGCAGTTGCTGTAATGTTCCGTAGAGTGTGTTGTCAAAGGTAGGTCTCGGAGGGAGAAGTGTAGCTCTAATGTCATTTAGGGCTGTACTGTGGAAAAGTAGACCACTGGCTTAAAGATTATCAATTTTTTCCCAGGAAAAGGAAGGATTTTTTTTCATATCTCTCTGTAAAAAAAGGTGCTCTTGATTTTTGTACTGAAAGCAATCGTTTCAAATTAGAAAGGATTCTTGAAAATTATTACTTAGTCAAACTGAATTGCCTGTGACTGTAGGTCTTAGAGGTGTAATAAATATCTGGCATGTCATTTTGATGCAGATGAAATTTTAAAAAATTAAAATAGTTTGAAATTGTTCCCATGGAGCAGTTAATGTTATGTAAAAAGCGTAACGGAACTTCAGGTTTTTGTTTGAATGTTGAAAATCTTGAAGTCGGTAGGATGAAGAAATTATATAGGTTTTCTTGTAATAGAAAGCACTGTTTTATATATAATGTATGACAGGTAAATTATACTATAATCATATTAGATAGTATTTATACGCCCAAATTCCCACTTATCAGCAAGTTCTATGTGATTTACAGTCCATATTATTACCTCGGCAGACCTAATAGCTTTCTGAAACAATGTCAACTTCCTGGGAAGCATAAGTTGCCATTTTATAGGTGCTAAAACACAAACATACTGACAAGGCCTGAGGCTCGAACCTCCGAACTTGCAACCTCTTGATTATGAGTCCAGTCGCCTAACCACTAGACTACCGACACCACATAAGCAAAACTCTACAATCTACAAGTGGCAGGGGTTTGGCTTTTTTACATCAGACTTTTCGTGCCTTCTATTCAGCTCTCGTACGTGCTATTCTGTGAACCTAAGTTTGTGGGGTCTTTTTTCCAGGCAAATTTTTTATCATGAAGAGAGATGAAATAATAGGAGAAAAGCATTGCCGTTTTCTATAAATTAACTCTCATGAGTAAATGTTTAAAACTATTGATAATGTGACCTTTGCATTTCCTCCTCAACAGCTCTACTTGAAAGCAGTCAGAGGAAATGGTTACCTAGGGGACATAGCTGTGGATGACATATTCCTTGATTCTAAACCTTGCCCACACAAAGGTAAGCTCCCACATCCCAGCCACTTACAGTTCTCAGGCCATAGATGTGTTAGAAAGTGTTAGTCCTGGAGAAGAAAGGCAGGCTTTTTCATCCATCGAGTACTTCATTCTATCAGAGAATGTAGATAGGAAGGAATAGCTATTTTGCTAATAATTTCTGATCCATTGCTCTTAAACATTTGATGTAGACTTGATTCATGTGGTATGTTGTTGCACTATTTACATAATATGTGCAATCACATCCCCCCAAAAAACTTTTTTAAGACTCATTGTCATCAAGTGTCAGATCTGCAGCAGACATCAGCAATCATGGTTCTCCATTAATTCCTTTACTCAGATGCTCTTAAAAAAGCTATTTTACCCTGATCTTTCCCCATTACCCATCTGTTTTGGTTCTCTAAGTAAGTAGTTCTTAGACTAGGGAAAGATAATTTGGCTTACTTGTTACTTGTGTGAAGGACCGACATCACTGCACAAGGGGCATCCCTATAAGCACTCTGTCCCCTGAAGAAGCACATCTCGAAGTGTGTAGATGCTGACGGTTCCAAGCAATGTTTGATTCCATAGCCTTCTACTCCTCCCACTAAGTCTTGAACTTCTGCAGAATTTGGCTTAGAATGTAGGTAAGGGATGTAGTGAATTAATAATGTTACAGATAAGAGAACATTGCTCGTGACACAATTTTTGTTATTTTCCACAGCTGTGTGCGACTTTGAGGACGACTGGTGTGGCTATGTTCAGGAGAAGAATGACAACTTTGATTGGACAAGGTACAGATCCAGTACTTCCAGTGTAGGCACAGGCCCTGCCGGAGATCACACCCTGGACTCTGGCAATGGTCAGTATGCAAGCAGTTCATATGATAATGATAATATAAGCACCCAGGCATAAGTCTTCTTCTTCTTCTTTTTCTTTTTCTTCTGCTTCTTCTTCTTCTTCTTCTTCTTCTTCTTCTTCTTCTTCTTCTTCTTCTTCTTCTTCTTCTTCTTCTTCTTCTTCTTCTTCTTCTTCTTCTTCTTCTTCTTCTTCTTCTTCTTCTTCTTCTTCTTCTTCTTCTTCTTCTTCTTCTTCTTCTTCTTTTTCTTCTCCTTCTCCTTCTCCTCCTCCCCCTCCCCCTCCCCCTCCCCCTCCCCCTCCCCCTCCCCCTCCCCCTTGGGAAAAGGATACATACATTGATGTTTTAACGTTCGAATAAAAAGCTTTTGATAAAAATAATACATTAGTATTTTGAGTAGTTCTTAGTGGCTCAAATGAAAATGAAAAGAATATATATGAGTTCAAAGTCTTGAATAACGCATTTGTATGTTAAAGGTCCTTATAGACAGTGAAGTATCTTATTAGTTGGTTAGTGTTAGAGCGCTTAACCAGCTGCTTGCATTGTATGCTTCCTGGGAAGCTGAGATGTTTTAGAGTGTTCTATGGTCTGCTGGGGTAATAATATAGTGTAAAGCGCATAGAGCTTGCTTTTGAGTGGGGCCATGCGCTATAAAAATGCTATTTATTATTATTATTATTCTTTCCTGATGTGCTTCTTCAAGGATTGCTTTCGGTTTCATTACAGTTTCAAAACAAAAGCAAATTAATAATAGTGTGCTATATTTTGATTCTCAATTCAAGTAGTTTTTGCTCAATCTTTGTTCCAGGTTACTATGTTGATTCTCAATTGAAGTATTTTTTGTCTCAATCTTTTTTCCAGGTTACTATGTTTACATTGAGGCTTCGACCCCTCAACGACCTGGGGACAAGGCTAGGATTGTCTCTCCTACCTACCCTGGTGGGGGCGACCAGTGCCTGCAGTTCTACTATCATATGTACGGCACAGCAATGGGCACCCTGACGGTCCAAGCTCGCGATGCCAACCAACCAGGGCAGGGAAGCACCATCTGGTCTCAGAACTATGACATGGGAAACTACTGGCTCAAGGGTCAGGCACCTTTGAAGATGACCAACCCTTATCAAGTGAGTTAGAAAGGGGAAAGAGTGACTCTTTAGTCTAGATTTTGAGTTTGAGTGAGTTTGAGCATCTACCTGTCGTGCCAAAGCATGTGGTTTAACCCTATCCATACGTCGTGTTTTACTATCGTATCCATACGACGTGGGGAACTCTGTGCCACCACTTTTCAAAGAGGAAATTTACTCGTCAATCCGATCCGTACGCTTTGCATAGCAGTCCGTCAAAATGAATTTTTGAAAAATACTGAAGGTTTCAAAGAGATCTTTGCACTAGAAGTATTCTAAAATGTGAAGAATACAATCGCGGGGGTACAAAATGACCCCAGGGGGTACAGATAGGGTTAATTCCTAGTTCATGGAGGTGTTCTCAAAGAAAAATAATGGGTGCTTTTTTTTTAAGATCAGGTTTTTCACTCATCTGATTGTAGGTAGAAGTCTTTTGTACATATTTTTCGCTTCAAAGATGCCTTGACAGTTAGAATATGATAAAAGACACTTGGGTACGTACAAAAGAGTACCAGTATCATTTAAAAAAACCCTCCAAGAATGTTATGAATATCCTGAAAAAAGCAAGAAACACAGCTTTATAGCAGGAAAATGGTCCTTTTGATGAAAAATTAGCTTTACTGTTACCTACCCTGGATATCTGTGGATATTGAAGAAATTACTGAAGGAATAATGATAATAATAATAATAATAATAATAATAATAATAATATTAATGATAATAATTGCATTTATATAGCGCATATCCATGCTCAAGAGCCTCTGAGAACACTCAGAAACATTCTCAGCTTCCGCGGAAGCATACAGTGCAAGCTGCGGATTTCACGTGCTCTAACACTATCAAACTGACAAGATCTTTCACTGTCTATAGCTGGGTACCCATTTCCACCAGGGTGAAGTGAGGAAAAATTGTGCAAAGTGCCTTTCCCAAGGACACAACGTCGGGCCCCTGACTTGATTTGAACCCACGACCTTACGGTTGCGAGTCCGAGAGCCTAACCACTAGGCCACCGACGAAAAGGTGGGATGGTTAATAATGTTACGAGGGAATAAAAAAACAATGGGTTTACATAATAATATATTGAAACACATGTATAAGAGAAATATATGAGAATATCATTTTTCCCCCCCCCCAGATCATCTTTGAAGGTGTTGTGGGTGCCAACTACTCCAGCGACATAGCAATTGATGACATTCAGATCTCACCTCAGCCCTGCCCCAATCCACTATCCTGTGACTTTGAGAACGGACCATGCACATTCTATAACCGAGATGATGACGCGGGTGACTGGTCACTGTACTCTCCGCAGACCAAAGCCTACAACCAAAATGTTCCTTTTGCTGACCATACCACACACTCGGATACAGGTAAATAGTAAATCAGTATGTGTGATTACTGCAACCTCCTCCCCCCAACCCCACTCCCCCCCCCCCTTAAACAAAACAACGTTCCCCCTTTAAAAAAAATAGAACCCCCCCCCCCCCTCAATGAAACAAGTAGTCTGACAGCTGTATTCCTAGTACTGACCACTCTTGACATTGGGCTAAAAGTAAGCTGGACCCTCCATTTTTAACTGCTTGACCAAGTGTGCAAAATCTAGGTTCGCTGTGCAGGGGTCACAGAAGTTTGAGGGTTTGGGGGGGGGGGGGGAGGGGGGATGGAAGGCGAGGGAGATTGACATAAGGGAATGCATCATTTGCAAGTTAAAAGGGCCAACAAATCCAATCAACACAACGCTTTGAGGAGTGGGGGCATAAAACATTTTCCATTATTACCAGCTTGTCTTATGCTTTATGGGAAATATTTTAAGCCTTTATTGACACAAATTAAATCATTTAGAAGGCCGGCTCTTTTGACACTGCCTTGCCAGGGCCAACCTGAGCTGAGAGGGATACAACATCCTAATAGACAGAAGGAGGTTCAGTCAAACTCCATTATGCAGCCTTCAGCGGGGCTGGCGGTACAAAGAGGTTTTCATGTACCCTGTTAAATAATGCATGTAGCACTGACTGCACAAGGTTAGGGGAACTTGTATACCAATCACTAGATGAAGTAATAAGTTATCTCCCTTCCATCTGTCACATAAATGAAATTGGTGGAAGGTGTTTGATCAAGACCTAGGCCTGACTTGTTTTAGAAAGAGTTTTATGGCGTTCGCATCTAGTACTGCATAGGGTCATATGAGCGCCTAGCCCCGTAGAGACTTGTGTGTGAAGGATCGTCAAGCAACCACTGAGTGGATGTACCATGCACGGTGTGTAGCCTTGTGTGTACTTCTGGTGGCCAGTTCGTTGGCGGTACAGCAAGGTGAATTTACAGTAGTTTAATGAGGACCGTACAACTGAGACAGTAGACCAATAGAGGTTTTACTGTACTTCATTAAAAAAACCCAACCCATCCCGACTTGGGAATCAAGCGCACATCTTCTGCGCACATTGGAGAAGAGCTTTACCCTTCCAGCCCCAGCCCTTTTTGTGCACTCCCTAACCCCAGTCCCAGCCAATACAGCAGTATATTAGAAAAAGAGGCATGCATTCTAAAAAGTGATGTAGTATCTTTGTAATGAGGTTTAGATAAAAATGTACAACAAAGTTTGAAGGTAAATGAATAAATATTATGAAAATTAAAGTTGAATTAGGTTTGCTAATTTCGAAAAATGCGCACATTTGGTACACCCCTGAAACTGAGAATATACGCTCTTGGGACGGTGGGGGTATAAGCGCTGCTGAAAATATACGCGCTTGGGGCTGGAAGGGTTAACTGCTACATCACTGATGTAGGTAAACAGGCTGTGAGTGGGCTCTTACTTTGCTTTTCTTTATCCTTTCTCTTGTATCGTTAGATTTTGAGGGAAGGTGCAAATTTCTGTCAAGGGCTAGGTTGGTTGGCTTTTGTTGTTGGCGCTTTATTCTCTTTGAGGACCTCTTTAAAGCCATCCAGCAGGTGTTTGACGGGTGCTCTGGGTTGGTTTGCTCAATTATTCTTTCCTATCAAACTTCCTGATTGGTCCTACCTATTTCCTCTAATCTTTGGCACTTTTATGACCGTATTGTATTGCAAGTGCTGTTACACTCTTACTAAACTAATGCAATCCCACCAGGCTTTGCATGGTCTCCCACTTAGTTAGGTCCAGAAAGTCTCCTCCACTAATGCTTTGTCTCCATTTTTATTTCAGGCTACTACGCTGTTGCCGATTTAAAAACAGCAAAGAATGCTCTTCTGTCTAGTGATGTACACCCCTCCACTGCCGGACTCTGTCTTAGATTTTCCTACAGCATCTACCAAGATGGTTTGTGTCTCTGTGTGCTGTTTATAAGATAATAATAATTATAAATGACATTTATATAGCGCTCAACCTCAATTAAAGTACACAGGCTCTGAGCGCTTTACAATACAATACAACAGTAGCATAAAACATTGTGTTCTGATAAAAAGAAAATCCCTCCTAATATTAATCTTATTAATTTAGAAACAGAAATGATCAGAAGATGATAAGTTTAGATTGACTTCTGTGTGTATCTCTGACTGTTGCTTTGTCTGAACTAACTTGATCATAATTAAAGAAAAAAACACTTTTCTTTTAACACGCATTCATTCTTCCTGTTGATGAATTAGGTCTGAAAACAATGGTTGCTTTGAATTAGGTTTTTCTGTTGAAAAAAACCCCCAACAACCCGAAAACCTAAGCGACTATGAAATGTGTTTTTAATAATGCAAACATACCAGGGAAAAATTAAAAAAGAATTTTTGTCCTTGAACAACGTAAGGTCAAAGTTACTTGGAAGCCAAGGTCTCACATATCTTATTTTTTAAAAAAAGAAAAAAGAAAATTACCTTATTGTATTGCAAGTGCTGAAAAACACTTACTAAAAACCACAAAATTTTTCACTTTTCAGGTGATATTCGTGTCTACATAGAAACGCCCACCAAAAACACCTCCCTACTGCAAGTGGCAAATCCTGGTGGCAGGGATATGACTTTGACTTGGAAGACTGCCCAGTTGGATATTCAGTCAGACACACCCTTCTATCTGTCGTTTGAGGCATACTCTCCTCTTGGTTTTGTTGCTTACGCAGCCATAGATGATATTATAGCTCTTGATGGTCTCTGTTCTGCTCAGACCACCGCTCCTCCCATTACAACGCCAAAACTGCCACGTGAGTACTTAAAAATAATTTTAAAAACTGATAATAGGGCTATTACTTTTCGTGAGTTTCGTACATACTTAAAGGATAGACTTCTCCAAATTTATCACTTGTTTCTTTCAGCGTTTTTTAAATAGTGAATTCAACATCACCAAAATTCACTTTGATACTTTGGTCAAGGCTTTCAATTTTCTTGCTTTTCATGATTTCTGATAAGAAAAACACAACAGAAACTTGAAAACTTGAAAACTAGTTTTTTGTCTCTGATGTAAAAAGTACCCAAATGGACTTAAGTGCAATGCTTGCGGCATGGACGATATTATTGATACATTAGGTGCAGTGCTCTACTTTCTTTTGCAATGTAGGGTTAACATGTTAAGCTCATGAACCTATCATTGAGACTTCCCACGAAAGATGGGATCTTGTGTACTAAGTCTATAATTTTACAATGAGATGATTGTAGGCTATAGTGGAACCACATTGCGATGCGGTAAATATGTGTAAATATTTAACGCCCCCACAATGTTAATAATAATAATAATGAAAATAATAATAATAATACTGATAACAATAATAGTAATAGTAAATGTAATAATAATAGTAATAATAATACTTTACTTTTTTACTTTTTACTTTACTTTTTCATCCTCTGTTGCCGTTAAGGGTCATGGGGAGATGCAGTTTTCCATGGTAGACCAGCTCTGCAGCTCTTTCAGTTGTGATGTCATGTTAGTAATAATAATAACAACAATAATAAGTATAATAATAATAGCCAAGATGATTGCTATAACGCCCACTTCAATATAATATTTGACCCTTTAGGAGGCTGACTGCCATGATCCTGTCTGCAAGGGCCAATATCCCAGCAGACAGATGGAGATACACACGAAGCCCCCCCCCCCCCCCCCACCGAATTGCTCTATCTTCTATGAAATGGAACAGGGCATATAACCATTACACCACAGAGGCCGATATTACAATACAGTTGTTAGCTTTCACTGAGTGCCTTTGCAAAACAAGCAGGGCTCCACTGTATACAGGATTTTGAAAAATCAGCATTTGGAGCAACTCTGCTCTAAGCTGACAAAATGTCTGTTCACATTTTTGGCACCAAATTTTTTTAATTTGCTGAATCAATAGCTTACATGATCAGTTTCCCTACTTTTGTGAAAAACTTTTAGTAAAACTATGACTAGTTTTTTAATAAATTACAATTCAAATTTCCGAAGAACACTCATTTTTTAAATGGTTACGCTGACAAAATGCCTTTTTTCTGGAAACTACTTTGAATAAAAAAAGGCGTTTTGTCAGCCTCAGAATTACATCGTTTTATTTGACATTTTTGGTCATTTTCAGTTACTAAGACCTTGAGGTAAAAAAGCAAATGTTCTATCTCCTCTATCACAGTTGTCGTTATCAAGATATTCAAAGAATTTACATTCGTAAAAGCTTCGCTCAAAATCTTTGATGCCAAATTTTTCAAAACTAGATACTGAGCAGATAGAACTTTGCAATTCCAGGGTAGCGACATATCTTTAACTCGTGCCACAAGGCTTGCCATATCACGATGAAGTTCGGGGGGGGGGGGGGGGGGGGTGTTGAAACCAGAGGGTGGTATCTTCTGTCCTAGGATTTAAGGGTGCACCTTCACTTCACTTCTTTCTGTATATGCATGTAACTTGTGCATCTTCTGAATTTTTCCTCAGCAACAATATACTACTTTGGATGCAACTTTGATTATAGCTACCACTCGCTGTGCCATTGGTCACAAGAGACAAGTCTTGATGACTTTGACTGGCTGCGGCAATCAGGTCAGACGCAATCAGCAGAAACTGGCCCACAGAATGACCACACCAAGGGCACTAGTGCAGGTATACTATAACCTAAATTGTTAGACTTATGGCAAAATCTGTTTTTCTCTTGGGTGCTTTCAGTGCTCCCACTTCTCTTTATCCTGTTCTTATAAGTTGAAAGTCCACTTTTATTCTATCTATAGGAAAAGGACATACCTAGATTGTTAAATAAATACTTGAATAAGTGAAAAATGAAATAAATTACATTTTTATTGGTCCCAGATGGGCAATTTGATTTTCAATGGTAAACATACATACATACATACGTACATAAATACATAATTATAAATACATACATACATAAATTCACGCACATATAAATAAATGCACAATATAACACCAATTCAGAACAATTTCGTAACCATGCTATTGTCAGTTGCCACAGTGCAGTGCCCTGTTTTTTTAGCTAGGGTTGTTGGGTCTCTCACAAGGACACACCCCAGTGACCACCCGTCTGATGCCCGTGTCACCGACACTTGCTTGACTTTACTCTTGAGTCTAAACTCACTACCTTATGCAGTTGCGAGCGTGGTAAAAACCTTACTCAAACAGACAAACAAATGAACATTCTCACTATTCACTAAGCCACTAGTTTTTTAACAGTAAGACAGGGGCTTTTTTACCCTACACGTAAAGTGCTTGCTACTCATTATGAAATATCCGGCTTGTTTCTTGGTTTATGCTGGTGTGGGTGGAGGAGAGCTTTTTCTCAGGTTTTTTTCTGCTCCTTGGTTCAAGGGTAGGATGGTTTTTTGTCTGGAAGATGAGTTTACGACAAAATAAACTCTTTGAGACTTCACTGGCCTTGCATTTCCAGTAACTCTCACAACAGTGTCTCCTATTTGCCTTCTTGGTGATCATTCTGGAAAAGAAACCAAAAAAAATCTTTTAGTAGTGGTGTAGCAAGCGTTCAATACTGACTCGTTACATGCAAGGGCAGAGGGTGCTAGCGAAAAACGAGGGGACCACTTTGTGGGCAGTGCATTGGTGTGAAAATATTTTTGGGTTGCTAATCTTAAAGGTAATTAGTTGTAATGAGTGTTTTTACAGGATTTAGCCGACTTATGTAGATTCTACTTCAAATTCAAAGTCGGAAGTATCCTAACCTACTCCTGGCAAAATGTGACAGTTGACAGAAACAAGGACTCAATTTGTGACTATTATTATGCTAACTCACTACCGTAGAATTACAAAGTTCCTTCTGCTCAGTACCTATTTTTGAGAAATTTGACCGCAAAAATTTTGAGTTTCACAGCATGTCAAGCTTTTTCAAATGCAATTATTAGAATATCTAGATTACGACTCAGAATAATCTTACGATTTTGATAGAAAAGACAGAATATTTGTTTTCTGACCTCATGGTCTCAGTTGAACAAAACGGCCAAAAATGTCAGATAAAACTTTGTAATTCTACCTAGCAAACTAGCCATGAACTATACTTGACATAACTTGCACCTGGTACTGACACTTTCTATTCCCATTCTCCCTTCAGGTCACTACATGCACATTGATGTGTCAGGGAAAAGGGCAAACTCTTCGGCCGTGCTGAATAGCCCTTATGGAACGTATAATCACCCCATTTGTTTCTCATTCTGGTATCACATGCATGGAATCCACGTAAACCGGCTCAACCTTCTAATGAAGAATAGGTAAGTGTGATCATCTATCAAACTGAATACATGCTGTACGGAGAAGTTTTTATTGGAAGGATTTTGTGTAATGCCTAGAATAGTTAAAGGCCTATATAGATATATTTTCTATAGAAAAATGGACGTAGAGGTCAAAAGTGTTTTGAAAGTGTGAGTAAATTGGAGAATTATCATTATTATATATCGACTGCTCTGTGTAAGACACTGTCATACTTCATTTTTCAACATGGTGTTCACCAAAGAGTAACCCTTAGCAGTCGTTATGTTTATGTTGATTAAATTGAAAAAAAATTTACTAATTAGTACGGGGGCTCTAGTGGCCTAGAGGTTAAGATGTTGGCCTCTCATTCAAAGGTCCCGGGTTCGAATCCGGGTAGCGACCAAAAAAATTTTCTTCTCTAAAATTGTCTACTTTCACCTCTCTAGCAATGTTCTGTTGTCTGTTTTCATTTTCACTTTCTGCCCTTACCCCCTCACCTCCTTTGCCCCCTCCTCTGGGCTCCTGACTCTTTCTGCAGCCTTTCTACTGCTACTCCTTGGCTCCTCCTTACTGCTATCTTTCTGCCACACCCCTGATCTTCTGGTAGGAAAGATCTACACCTAGCCTTCTCGGACAAGGGCGAAAAATCTCGGAGGGCACGTGTGCAAGTTGCACACGTCAAAGATCCCTTGGTGGTTTAAAATCGATAAGAGTAGGCTTCGGCCGCCACCTGGGCAAAATTCAAAATTTCCTACCAACTGAAAATATTAGGTGTGTCCCGCATGCTCATATGACCTTATGCAGTTGCGAGCGCCGTAAAACACTTTACACAAACAAAACAAACTTAATAGTACTGTTACTTGCATACATTCAATATTGTGTCCCTTTTTCAGGAGCTCTCATGCAACCACCAATATCTGGTACAAACAAGGTGAACAGGGTGTTCAGTGGCAACATGCCTACGTGGAACTCCCAAGGCTCTATTCAGCTCGCGTAAGTTTGTTTAGAATTCATTTTCTCTTCTTCTCTTTGACGATGTGTGGCTGTCTTGGACACATACAGTAGCAGTTTTGTGGGATTGTCCATCTTCTGTGACTTCTCACATTGTTCTTTTTCTTTAGTTTTAGTAAGAGTTTTACAGCACTTGCAACACAGTAAAATCATATAAGTGCTGAAGAATAGAAGCAATAAACCCGAAAAAGAAAAAGAGGAGATAAAGAAAAGATAGATTTTTTTGTAAGAAAGAAAGAGTAAACCACCCCAGAGCACCCGCCAACCACTCACATTGTTCGTTTTCATTCTGGAGAGAATACCCACAGTTTCATCTCATATTAGCTAATAATAATAATAATAATGATGCATTGCATTTATATAGCACTCTATCCCATATAAGTATAAACTCTGAGTGCTTTACATCAATCACGTGATCACAGAGTGTAATACTTCATTCACATAAGATAAAACATTTTACAGTAACAAGAAAACCAGTTCATCAACCTCATAAAGAAGAACTTTCTCAACCATGCATTAATTATATATACATGTGAGGACAGCAGTAAAAACAAAACATACCAGCACTTACTAACACAATAGAATTAAGAATTAGACGTATGAGTCTTGAGCCTTGGCTTAAACATATTAGGATTTGTAATTTCCTTGAGGTTCTGAGGCAAGGAGTTCCAGGTTTTAGTGCCAAAAAATGAGAAACTTCTGTTACCAAAAGATCTTAATTTCATTTTACGGGCTCTGAATTTTGTTGCATCTGTGGGTGATATTCATCCCATGTCCTTGAACTTCTTTTGTCAGTTGGAGTTTGAAGGAGTTGCTGGCTCAAGCTACATGGGAGACATTGCCTTAGACGATTTCGTCTTCTACAACGGCAGATGTCCGGCCACTTCAACGTGTGACTTTGAAAATGACTTGTGCGGCTTCTCTCAGGACTTGTATGATGACTTTGACTGGACACGGAAGGCAGGATCCACGGACTCCGTCGGGACTGGCCCGTCGTCGGACCACACTTATGGCACATCTATAGGTGAGAAGAGTTGATGTGGGGGAGTACGTTCATGCTGTGATGTAAATCATTGTTACTTAAAAACAAAAATTATTTTCCTTTTATTTTTCTTTGTACATTACGTAGGGCCTTCAACGGATTAGGCACTGTGTAAATTCCTATTATTAATTATTATTGTTATTATTAATATAATTACTATTAGTATTATCTCACTTTTCGGCTAGACTTCAGAAGTAATTGGCTGCCTGTTTTTCAATTCACATTGCAAGTAATTTAAGTATGCTGAGGGTTGTTTTCCCTAACATGGTGCTTTGTCCATTAGCATTCAGGAAACCACATTCTGTTGTCAAGCTACTTTTAATGAATGTGTAGCTTGTTAAACTTTTAAACTACGATGGTGTCTTTTCTATGCACAAGTTTTTTCCTCCTGCAAAACATGCTTAGTTGTCCAGTCACATTTACCTTGCGATCAAATGTGGAGAAAACCTGAGCATAAAACAACTCAAATCTTCTTCAGCCACACCTGCTTGAGCAATGAGTCAAACCTGGTTCTCTAGAATGAGAGGCAGGCTGTCGATGTAGGATTTCTTCTCCCACTCAAAGTTGCCAAGAGCAAATGTGAGGCAATGTGGTGAAATCAGGCGCTGGTCAAAATAATGAAATTGAAGAAATTGGCATTTATCCGCCGGTTTGGCTATTTTTATCGAAAATCTGTTTTTCGCCTAACACCTTTCATTTTCATTTAATTAAGAACCCATTTTAGTGTGGGTTTTACAGAAAACATTGATTAAAGGCACAAAAGATGTCAATTGTCAGTTTCCGCGGACTCTCAGGCTATTTAAATTACCAAATTTTGGCGGCCATTTTCTCGCTAGTTTTACATCTGAAACGAAGCAACCCCACCTCCTTTAACTGCAAATATATCGATTGTATTCACGATAAATGGGTATTCGTTCATCGAAAGCAAGGCAAATGTACAAGCTTTAAGGTGATACTAATAACTCCACATGCCCAAAAATTGATGGTGCTTCTTGTGTTCTCCTATCACACTTGCTCCATAACAAACCTCTCCCCCCCCCCCCCTCTCCCCCACACACACACACATACACACATAATATTTGTGTCACAATGCTGTGGAATCAGGCGCTCGTCAATTTTTTTATGGTGTCATCTGAAAGCTTATTCATTTGTTTTGCATGCGATGAAAAAAACACCCATCTATCTTGAATAGAAGTCGAAATATTTCCCATTGAAGAAGGTGGAGGTCACCGGTTTTCGAAGGTACATTTATTGAGAAAATGACTGCCAAAGTTTGGTAACTTCCATACCTTGAGAGTACTTGGGAAAAGAAAATTTACATTTTTTGAGCCTGAAATCAACATTTTTCAAGTAAATCCAGAGATAAATTTGTTTTTAAATAAACATAAAAGGTGTCGAGCCAAAAAACAGAAATTTAAATAAAATTGCCAAACTGCCGGAAAAATGCTGTTTTCTTAGATTTCATTATTTTGATGATCGCTTGAATTCACAACGATGTCTCACATATACTTGCCAACACACACTTACGTACATGTCATATTTTAGCATTTCAGACTTGTGTGATTATACAAGTATAGTCAAATTTGCTCTAATGGCCACCCGTCCAAGGCAATCAACTTTACAAATGACCACTTCCTACACCACCTCCCTTAAGTTTTAAAAATATTATGACACTGCCTGAGATGTATATCTATTTAAGACAACCACTTTTCTCCTCAACAATGGGCGACAGTCTTAGACAATTTCAACTACATAAATGCTAACATAAAAAGCAAGACATCTGGAATGTATGCAAAATATACGTAATAATACTATTGAATCATTTTAGAAATGGCTGAACTAAGCTTCTGTTCTGTCAGGTCACTACATATATATTGAAGCTTCCTCACCAAGACGGCCAGGTGAAAAGGCTCGAATCTTGAGTCCAGTGTATCCTGCGACGGATGGACGATGTCTCAGGTTGGTTTTATTCCACCCTTTGCTGTTGCAATGTTACACAGCCTAGCGCAATTTCATTACATCTTTACTTCTTTGACCCATAGCAATATTGCGTTCATTTAATCTTTACTTCTTTGACCCATAGCAATATTGCGTTAATTTATTTATGCAAAGAATGATGAAGCTATAGAGAAAAATAATAATTGTAAAGAACAGGGCTTTACAATTTTATATTTCTTAGTCTATTCCTTTTGACCACAAAAACAATTTTTTAAACGTTTTTTTTGTCTGATTTTTTTTTGGACCATCAGTCATGGTAAAACAGTGATGGAGGATATTTGTAAGAGAACCGTAGCAGCTGAAGTGTTTGAATTAAAATCTTAGGAGGGCTTTGATGATGATGATGAGGATGTTGGTAATTATATTGAAAGGGTTAAAGAAAGAGAATCAGATATTGACAACGTGACAATGACTGTGAAAACAGCAACAATAGACCTAGCTTTGCTTACTTTTAATAATTTTTTAGCAGCTCTTTTGTGTTGATTGTCAGATTTTTCACTTAGATTTTCATGGTACCACAAACATTCATAATATGTGTCATGACGCTGTGGAAGCAGGTGCTCGTCAATTTTTGGGCATGTGGAGTTATTGGTATCATCTTAAAGCTTGTCCATTTATCTTGTTTTTTATTTTTTTTAAAAGCCGTTTATCTTGAATGCAAGTCAAAATTTTGTAATTGAAGGAGATGAGGTCACTTGGTTTCAGAGGTAGAGTTAACAAGAAAATGGCAACCAAATTTTTAAAATTTCCATAGGCCCTATCTTGAGAGTGAGTGGAAACTGAAAATTTACATATTTTGTGCCTTTAATTAACGTTTTCAGTAAAAATCCTTACACAAATTTTAATGTGTTCTTAAAAGGACATAAAAATTGAGAGCCAAAAAAAAAATTCTATGAAAATTGCCAAACCAGTATGTTTCCTAACGCAAGGTTTCTAGCTCTTTCTGACAGGTCTCTCCCAGTCTTGCTTTCATTTGGAAAGTCACTTTCTTATTTGCAATTAGAACACTGAATTATAAACAACATCTTAACTTAATTTCTATCTGTAAAGATTTCTTGATTGAAATTTCAAGGAGGATTTATGGATTAATCCAAACTGGAAATATTTTATCTCTACTTGAGATTATTAGGACACTTTGAAAAGTATGACTGTTGAGATTTATTACTCTGTCCTCAGATACTGGTACTATTTTGATATTTGTCCTTCTGTCCTCAAATACTGGTACAACATTAGATATTTGTACTTCTATCCTCCAATACTGCACTGGTACAACATTTGATATTTGTCCGTCTGTCCTCAAATACTGGTACAACATTTGATATTTGTCCTTCTGTCCTCAAATACTGGTACATCATTTGATATTTGTCCTTCTGTCCTCAAATACTGGTAGAACATTTGATATTTGTCCTTATGTCCTCAAATACTGGTACAACATTTGATATTTGTCCTTCTTTCTTCAAATACTGGTACAACATTTGACATTTGTACTTCTGTCCACAGATACTGGTACCACATGTATGGTCAAAGCATTGACACTCTGGCCATATACTTGCGCAATCACGAAGCGCAGGAGATTGATCTTGATAGCAAGTCAGGGAATCTGGGAGACCAGTGGAACTATGGACAAATAGACCTCCAATCTATCTCCTCTTTCCAGGTACTGCAGTTGGAGAGCTAGTGAATTATTATGGTCCGTTAAAAAAAATGACAATAAGAAACAGAAGGTTGATGCTTGCTCTTTTGTGGTTTGCTTCTTCTTTCCTGTCAAACATCAGTCGTCCTTATCTCTTCTCCTTTTTCATTTTTGTTACTCTCTTGTACCATCTAAAATCTTAGGCTCTAGATCTTATTTGACCTTATTATGTTACAAGTGCCGTAAAACTCTTACTAAAACTGAAGAAACAGAAAGGATCAGCAGTGGATTAGCCACTACAAAGGGTACATACAAGGACATTCTTGTCTAATAGTAAGTTTCTGGAGACGCAGTAGTAAGGGAGAGAGTTTGGACGTCTTGATCATTCAACCTGCAAAATTTCAAACTCCCTAACTAGCCTGATATCATATCTTATTCCTACGAAATATAAAAGTTACTTTTCTCTATTTTCCTTGGTTCTTCCAAATGTAGATACATTTTTGATAATTTGTTTGGACAAATTATGAGAACAATATTGGTAAGCATTTAACAGGCTACAACACTCTGTGTTCCTTAGGGGACTGAGGGTGTAAATTCGACTAAACTGGCTGGCCGAAGGAGTTGTTATGAAAACATAATGCGCTGTCTGCTGTGAGAGAGATACAAGTCTTTGAATAAACATATTGGCACACAAGAACGTTCATAATAATGTAACTTTCAATAAAAATAAATCAATTGTATTTATTTGACTCAGTCTTGTCGTTAGTGATAGATTTGTCCGATGATTCTATTGATAGCTTTTAAGTTTGTTTTTGCTTTTCCTTTCAGATTATCTTTGAAGCCACAGTGGGAACCACAGATTTCAGTGACATTGCCATAGATGATATTGAGGTAATGATGAGCAGTTCTTGAACTTGAACACACCATTTGACTGAATTATGTATGGGCTCTTGTTTCAGATAATAGATGTCCAATTACAACAAGAGGAAGTTAGTTTCATTGGTTATTTTATCATGTCTCTGGAAAGTCAAATACTTTTATTAACCCAACACCCATGCATAACTTTGCGTATACCATGCAAGATTGATTATGAGAGAGTAAAAAAAGTTTAGATTCTAATATATGGACATACTTTCTGATCCAGGGGCCATCTGAGTTCTAGCCCTTCGACCTGAAATATGTGTACATACTTACTTTACTTTTACCAGCCGCTTTTACCCTTTTGGGTGTTACGGGAAGAAAGAGACGTCTCTCTGCCACCAGTTGGAGAGCTTGGGTCAGGAGGATGCTATGAGTTATTAATGTTTCCCTGACTCCATCTATCTAGGTCTTTTTCACCAGGCTATTTTCAGCTCTCATTTTCCATTAGCCTAGGGAATACTGGAGTTCTTGACTCCTCGGGCCCAGCCAATACCTGTTGTTTGTAAACTTATGTAGACATGAAAAAAAAATGTCCATGCTGCTTTTGTCTGAAGGTTTAGAAGATAACACGAGGGTAATGTTTTAGAGACAATTATATAGATTCATTCATTCATCCCGTGCCTTGCCTACTGGCGTGAGCAATCATGGACCTCCACTTCACTCTGTCTTGTGTTTGCAGTGATGGTGTCTGTCGTTCTTGCTGCTCCCAGCCATGGTCTGCCTCTGCCTCTCTTTCCATCAAACTTGCTTGTTGTTGCAATATTTTCCTATGCTTCTTTCCACATTGTGCGTCCAATGAACTTTGTATGTCGCTTTCTTATATTCGTCATAAGCTGTCATCTGCAATTTGCTTCAACCAAGACTTTTTCATTTGTTTCTAGCTGTCCATGGGATAAGCAGCATGCGTCTTATGAACAACAACTTTGTCACCTCAATTGTTCTTTCCAGCCGTCTATTGATTGTCCATGCTTCACACCCGTGTAATAGGATAGGCTCTATGTAACTTTTCAGTACTCTTTTTCTTGTTTCCATTGACAGATTGATTATATAGATTACCAATAAAAATACTTGACTCGGTATAAGGTGGTCTGCCCCCTCTGAAAGAATCCATGCATCACTGGGCCAGGGGGAATGAGAACTCAGGAGGAAAATACCTGTGACTGGGGCCTTACTGATTAAAATAAGCTGATGAGGAAAGTGATCCTACACCATATGAGCTGTTGTTGAAATTTTCAGCTTATTTCCGTTGTCTATTCTGTCAAAATGTCGTGCAGACAATTCAAACGCTCAAGGCCAGTAGCATGAGCTTCTACCTTTTATTAATGAATGTAATGCCATACCCCTCAGTTCCTCTGTTCAATTTCTATTAATTTTTCTGAAACATTTGTGGGTGTGTCCAACCACACAGCATTCTGTTCAGCTGAGATTTACATTTTGCCAAAGAGTCTACATAACAAGAGGGGCCACTTCTATCATTGAGGCAATTAAAAAAGTGTCCTCAAAATTCGGTGGCGCCCTCTTCGCAAAAGCGCACCTTTTGCGAACAGAGTTATCCTACTTGAGTTTTAAAAAATCAAAGTGAAACTAGCAAGTTTTTTAATGAATTTCGGAAGAACGCTTTTTTAAAATGGTTACGCTGACAAAAAACCTCTTCCGGAGGAAAGGGTGATTGTTTTCTTCGTTTAATTTGACTTAAGAATGAAAGGCTAGAGGTCATTAAAATAAAAAACAACTAAAACTCCACACTGAACGAACCCAAACTGCTGATGAACAGCAGTCGATCTGCGCACGCAAGGAGGTGCTATTCCTATTCTTCTTCTGGAAAAACGAAAGAGTGCTTCAAAACAGACTGCAGCGCCATCTGAAGCAAAGAGAGCACTTCCTGCGGACACTTTTTTGCCTGAGTGGCCCATCTTGTTATGTACTATCTTTGATTTTGATAACTCAGAAGTACAAAGTTCAATCTGCTCGGTACCTAGTTTTGAGAAATTTGACTTAAAAAAATGTTTGAGTTTCACAATATGTCAAGTTCTTTCAAATGCAACTCTTTGAATATCTTGATAACGACTCGAGAGTAGTCTTACAATTTTGATAGAGCAAATAGAGCATTTGGTTTGTGATCTCATAGTCTTAGCAATTCAAAATGGCCAAAAATGTCTGATAGAACTTTGTAAATCGCTAAGGTAGCTATTTGCTTTGATTCTGTATTCTCAGCTGACTGATAGTCCATGTTTGGATCTGCTTGACTGTGACTTTGAGAAGGACTTGTGCGCCTGGACACAGAATCAACAGGATGATTTGGACTGGGAGCTCAATTCTGGCAAGACCAACTCCTTATACACCGGACCTGCTGCTGACCACACCATCGGATCGCAGGCTGGTCAGTGTTGTTTTTTTTGGTCTGTTTTAAAAGTTGCTTCACCTCAAGTGGGTTGGGTGATATAAATGTGAGACATGCTGACAAAATGAGTTACTTTTCGCATTCCACAAATGGAGATATTGGCCGAAAATCGACACTGGGGTCAAATTTGAAGATTTTCTGTTGATGCCATATTATTCTGTAGGTATGACATGCTTTTAAAATTATTTCACACTTAAAAATTAAAAAAAATTTCTCCTATAAGCTCGGTGTACCTATTTCCATAGGGCTCAAATCTGAGAAGTAACTCATTTTGTCAGCACGCTTCACAAATACTCTACCTTGTCCTTTCTGAGTCCTAGTCACTGGTACACCAGTGGCGCCTAAAATTGCCCGTCTGCCAAGCCACCGGTATAGTGGTGAGCGAAACCCTATCCTCAACCCGGCCCGTCTGGGACAAAACACGCACGGAAAGCAGTTTTTACTACACAGGACGTTATTAATTATTTTGAAGATATTTCATTGATTTGTATTTGTAAGGACGAGGACTACCCTGAGTGGAATATGGAAAGTGATTCTGAAGATGATATGAATCAGAGTAACATATCGCTCAGGAACTCCGGCAGAGGGTCATGGTAGCCTCAGGAGGTCGGGGCTCAAAAAGTTAATTTATTTTCACTGCCAAACATGCTCCACAATCCTATGAAAGAACCCAAGACAGTCTTGAGGCAGGCCTTTAAAGGGTTAAACTTTCACCATGCTGGAGTAAAGACAACATCTCATCTTCATACTTACTATTTCTTCAGTCAAGAACTTTAACACTTTGCCCACACGAGACGCCGATCAGTGACGGGCAAGAAGCTGACTCTTTTCCCCACAGGACGCTGATCGGCGCTTATGTAATATAGCAACAAAAATGTTGTAGGAATTATCTCATTTTTGACATGTTCACTTTTTAATCCTGGTCCTGTGGAGGCCGGGTTTATGTCGCCCGATAAGCCTATTTCGACACCTCACTTTTGTTCTGGTCCCGTGTCAGTCCGGCCCCTGGCTCAGCGCATGCGCGCCGAGCGTCATCCCCATTCCGTTCGATTCCTGCATTGGACCCCCGTTCACTCAGCTCCAGTGTGTGTGCATCAGTCTGCTTGAGTTTGTATGTGTTTGTGGCCCACTTCTAGAAGCGCCTGCATTGGTTTGTACCAATAGGTTGCTGATAAGATTCGCATCTCAGGACAAGAGTTAATAGGCCCTTCACAGGCCCTTGAGGGTCGTCCAGTTTATCAAAACAAATGATGAAACTCTTGTCTCCCAGGGCCTCATTTGGATATAGTTAGCTCTGAGCTAATAACTTGTATGGGAAAGAATGAATTTGAATGCAATATTATTATGGTTATTATTATTATTATTATTTTTATTATTAATATTATTATTATTATTATTATTATTATTATTATTATTATTATTATTATTATTATTATTATTATTATATTTTATTTTTGTTTAGTAAGGCTGTAAAGTCATATTCCGTACATAGGCCAAAGTCTGGGTGTTCCTGAACAAAGAATGACATTGTAGATCGAGTGTTGTCTACAGTTGCTATTTTCTTTTTTGAATGCAGGGCCAGAATATACCGATTTTTAGCTTGGAGATACTAGAATATACCATTTTTCTTTAATCAGAAGGCCAGTCGATTAACATACCATTTTATAGCAGAGGCCTGGAGTATACCATTTATAATAAAGGCCAGAATTTGCCTTTTTTTAGTAGTAGAGGGCAGGAATATACCATTCTTTCAGCAGAGGACCTAGAAAATATACAATTTTTTGGTGTGCAGATGGCCATAATATAACATTTTTTGAAAATCAGTGAGCCTGAATATACCATTCTTTTAGGGTAGAACTAGATTAAACCATTTTTAACCCCCACATTTGGTGTAAGTATGCACATTGATTCACTTGTATTTTGTGTTGAAAAGAAGGTATATTGTAAAGTGCCACGGGCTGTATTTTCGCCAAAGGGGGTGCAACATAAATTATCTGCATTATTGTTATCATCATCATTATTATCATTATTATCATTGTTATCATTACCATCGTTATCATCATTCTTCTTCTTCTTCTTCTCCTCCTCCTCCTCCTCCTCCTCCTCCTCCTCCTCCTCCTCCTCCTCCTCCTTCGTCTTCTTTTTCTTCTTCCTATTATTATTATTATTATTATTATTATTATTATTATTATTATTATTATTATTCACTTCAGGTCAGTACATTTATCTTGAGTCAAGTTCCCCCGCCAGTCCTGGTGACGTAGCTGTACTGGACTCCCAGGATCTGTTCCTGGCCATGAAGAGTGTAGGAAACCTGTATTGCCTGAGCCTGTGGTACAACATGAATGGACAGGACATCGGCTATCTGAATGTCACATCTACTGTAAGATATTTTTGATTATGACTTTCTTCATGTGTGGGCAGTGAGGAAAACCCCTTCCATATATATATACAATTCCAGGATTTTCTTAAAATAATTCTTGGAGTCTACGCCATTTTCTTAGGTTTCCCTTTCATTGAGCTCTTGACTTTATAATCTGAGGTCTTTCAGATTTAAAATCAGAAGGTATTGATCTCAGGAAAACAGAAAATTGGGACAAAAGCTTCTTTTCCCCTTTTTATGTAACTTTTTCCATAGGAATTCTCAGCTAACAATGAACTGAACCTTACTTTATTTTTTTTTACACGTTACCTGTAGAAATTGAAGATGACCCAAAACTAGGACATTTTTCTGGTTTGTGAGGTGTGTATTTGATAAAAATATTTAATTGGGTTTTTTTTTTAGCTCGTAAAAAAATTAAATTACTATAACGGTATTTTTACAATGGAATATATGTGTGTGGTTGGGATGTCACATACAGTGAACATTTTTTCTGAGTGTGCTAATGAGTTATTTGTGAGATTCGCTGACAAAACGAGTTACTTCTCACAATCCAAGAATGGTGATATCGGCGGATAATCGACACTGGGGTCAGATTTATAGATTTTCAATATATGTCAATTTGTTCAAGTTTACTGTGTCTTTTACTATTCCATGCTCACAAATTGTACAAACTTCGCCTATTAAGTTGATGTATCAATTTTCATAAGGTTGAAATCCGAGAAGTCACTCATTTTGTCAGCCCACTTCACATTTGGTTTTCCTTCACAGACCTTGATCACCAACAAGACCCAGACTTTGTTTTCCCTATACGGCCATCAGTCACCATTATGGAGACAAACAAAGATTGATTTCCGTGCACCTTCAGAGCTTTTCAAGGTTGGTAGAGTATTGTAAACTTATAGAATTTTGGTGTTTTTGTTGTTTTTGAATCTTCATATTAGAGTGGGTCTTGTGGTGGATGTTTGTTTGGGCTGGACTGGTCTGGTCTCTGAGGGCCTATAAGTAGTGTCTGATTGAAGCGTTCAGCAAACAAAAATGTTCAAGCCTTTTTTGTTTTTCGGGTAGATCCTGTTAGTGCATTTTTACTTTAAGATTTTATAAGATAAGATAAGATAATACTTTATTGTCCCTGAGGGAAATTTTTCTTGGCTGTACAGGACTGTAAAAACACGTGTTTCAAGGACAAGCCGGCTAACTAGAAATCTTGAATTCACTAAATGTGGGCATTGCCCTAGCTATAGGAGAAGTTTAGTTTCATTGGTGTGTATATTTGTTCAGTTATAGAGAAAACTCTTCTTGTCTTCGAAAGAAACTGAACAAGGGTCCAAAAACTTTAACTTCGATTTTCTCAAAACAGCATTTTTCGGGATAGCCCCCTTGTGCTTGAAAGTGACTAATTTATGGCAGTGCAGTGTTTCAGAAGAGGAAGGGATTGATGGTTAATTCACAACAAAAATCGAAAACAGAAAGATGCTTTTAATACCATATAGAAATGGATTCCATTATACGTAGCACATACATTCTAGAAAGTACCTTGCAAAATTGATGGGATACAGAAATATTTTAATTATGCTTGAATTTCACAGTGTAGGCCTACCTGTCTTAAATGAACAAGGAATATACATGCATAAGAACAAATTTGGAACCTGAAAATTTGTTTGCTGTGCGATTGTTTCCCCATGTGCTTGTGCATGCTAGATTGTATTTGCCTGGAGACTATTAATACAATGTATTATGTCAAACCAAAATCTAATATTATTAAAATTTACTTTTCAGCTTAAATTAGTCATCTTTCTTTTTTCTTTTTGCAGCTGTCCTTGATAGCCTCTGTGGGTAATGGCTATAACAGTGACATTGCTATAGATGACATCCATCTGTATGGGGAGGCTTGCAACAGAAGTGAGACACGCTTCTTTCTATTCTTATCTTTTTTTCCCTTAAATAAATCGCATGGGAAGAAGGTACA